TAAACCCCTCGCCAACATTTTTAGCTCAACATTTTCAACTTAAAGTGCGTATCGCGAATTTGGAGGAAATTTTTCAGTTTTCTTCACGCTTTTGAGRACTRACGAAAATGWGCCACTTAATGGTAAGTTCAGTTTTTCTAAGATTTACTCYAAAAAAGGCCTTAAAGCAAGGGCGGATCCAGGATGGGAGGTCAAATCTAAAACTTCTTGAATTCAAGCCTTTTTTGAGAAAACTGTCAATATTTCCCCATCCATGGTTCACTTTCTAAAAAGGTCATTTATTTCTCTCTAGAAGAATGTACAAATGAGCGTTCTTGCTCATTTTGCCACCGAGAAATGAGCAAAAACGGGACGGAAAACATGAAATTTTGGCATAATCTTGCACCTAAGTGTCTGATATTCAAATTTCGCTTTTTGGGTCAAAACTACTCGAATTTCCTCACCACGTTGTTACGACTGGATCCACTTTTCAATTCTCTATCCAACGAGCGTTCTTGCTCATTTTGCTTCCGAGAAACATGCAAAACGGGACGGAAAATATGAAATTTTGCAGTAATCTTGCGTCACCCTTGCACAAAACGACAATCATTTTTCTAATTTCCTAGACAACAGAAGACTGTATTTTTTCTACATAACCCCCTCCCTGACTTTAAAGCTGGATCCGCCCCTGCCTTAAAACTTGATTAAAATATACAGAAAAGAACTGTCGTTTGTCTAAAATAGTTGTCGAAGTGCAAGTTTTCGAAAGAACGCCAATTCCAATTTGCCGGGTTTTCCCATTTTGGTGCCGAAAATTCATGATGCAAAAAGCGGTGTTTCCAAAAGAAAATCAACATTAAACCGACAAAGGAACCATTGGCAAAATTTGTCTTGAAAAATCGTCTTTTCAACCTTCAAACTCGTATGACGTTCAAGGTTCTCAACTGATTTCAAGTTTGCAAAATACGATTTTTAGTTCAAACACTCATATGGTTCTCACTAGTTCACTAGTTAAAAAACAGCACAATATAGGAAAAATTAATTTAATCAAACGAATTATCATTACTTACATTGAGGCAGTACTGCAGCTTGGCCAAAAAATAATTAGAAAATGCAACTTCTCATCTACTAACAGACACAACTGGCCGAAAACATATATACAGGGTGTCCGGAAAGTGCATATTCTTCGACTTGCCGTTTGACGTGCCCTCAGCCGTTTCTTCCGAACCATCACGTTCTGACAAAAGCGACAATTCCGGACACCCTGTATAGAACCGTGTCGTTTATTTATTAGGGAATAAAAGCAATTACTTAAACATTGAGGCGAAATCACCGAAACTTCACGTCGTAACCAGAAAGCGTGGCCACTTCGATGCCGCTGGTTAAACTTAAGGATCGAGCTGTGGTGTGGCCTTTCGCTTTCCTCGGTACCAGGAAGCATAAAAGTCCCCCTAAAAGCACCACGACGCCCACGACGAAAATCGGAATTTCACATTGCGAGTCCATAAAGTACCCGAACAGAAAGCTGCTGGCCATCGCACCGAACCGTCCAGCGCACATTACGAAGCACAGCGCCAAGCCCACCACTTTGGTTGGAAACAGTTCCACAGCAATGCTTCCGATGGTGATGTTGGCCGTGATCATGCTGGCCTGGAACAGGCTGGCCACCACAAGATTCTGCAGCGAACTGGTGAGGAAGTAGATGCTCACACTGGTGGCTCCGCCCATCAGCATTGTGATCAACGGGATGACCTTAAAGTGTAGCTTCGTAGCTAGAATGCTGCACACCAAGTTGAACACTAGCGAACTGGAGGAGATCACCACAGTGTTGAAGGTGACTGAGGCATCGAAGGTGGTTTCACACGAAGCGTTTTTCACTTGAACGATGCCGGATAGTTCAGTAATCGAGGGCGTGGCGTTAGGGTGGAGCTTTTCAAACTGGTCGAATCGGACGAAGATCTCGGGAAGCCACAGGCCCAATCCAAACATTCTGTCGGAAATTTGCATGAGAGCTTTGGGGAAAACCTGCTAATGTTAGCGCTCTACGTACCCAAACATGTTGGCGAACATCACGGCGCAAGTTAGTGCAGTAACAAGCAGCAGGGGCGGCTGAAACAAGCTGCGCATTTGCTCTTTCATCACCTTGAGAACCCGCATGGTTTTGCTTTGGCAAACCACCTTGCTGCTGCCGGGTGTTGGCTTGGCATCAGCAATCAAGTTCTTCACTGGAAAAGAGTCTTGCTCCCGTCCACTGTTCAGAGCGTAGATTTTTCTGAGGATCAGCAGGCTTTTAGCGTGGCTGCCTTTGGCCAAGAGGAACTTGGGGCTTTCTGGCATCTTCAGAATCCAAAGCGCAGTCAGCAGCTCGGGAACGGCCAGAATCACCAGGAAGAGGCGCCATGGGGAGAAGAAAATAACTCCTCCTAGATCCCACGTTACTCCCTGAAGGGGCAGGATAAAGTAGGCCAACAAGGGCAGGAGCAGCCACGATAGGGTGAAGAAAATCCCACAGCCGCACACTACAGGAGTTCGCAACTTTGGCGGCTGGAACTCGGCCACGTAAGTGAAAATTATACTCCCTGGACCACCTACGGGGAGACAGGCAAAGTAGCCATTAGCAACGAATACTCCAGATCAACTCAGACCGTAAATACCAATTAAAAATCCATTAAGGAAACGACAGACTAGTAGGTTTGCGGTGGTTGGAAGAAGCGAGCAAACCAATGTGATGATCGCGTCCAGCAAATGGGTCACAACCAGGATTTTTCTCCGGCCTAGATTGTCAGCCAGGGCGCCCCACAAGAAGCAGCTGGCAACGCCTCCAATCATAAATGCCATATTGATGATGCCCAACTCAAAAGAGGTGAAACTGAGGTCGCACTGGGCCGCTGGAAACACGTAAGACGAAAGGCCATTCTGGAACCCCATGCAGAGGATGGACATCGCACTAACCGCGAGGATTTCATAGTGAAAACGTCCATAGCCTTAAAGGAACGATTACACTGAAGAATAATAGTTTTCTTCTTTTACATATACAGGGTGTGTTATTGGATTGTTTCCGACCTAAGTAGCTGCCGCATAGCGAATATAAAAGTTGTGGGTCGATAATAAGGAAGATATCGTCCGTTGAAGATTGCGACCGCTCAAAAACCGTTCAAAATAGACAGAAAATGTTGATTATTTGGGAACTGGAAAGACCCCGGTGTCTCTTAATTAGCTCGTTGCATTCCTTGTCTCTTTCCGATGAAAATGATGTATCAGTCGAGGTATTTTGAGGAACTTGATTTTTTTGGAAAAATCGACCTCTTACTCATGAAATTTTCGACAAAAAATCAATATTTTGCAATCGCGTTTTTGCCCTTATTGGATTGTTTCCGACCTAAGAAGTTGCCCAATAGCGAACATGAAAGTTATGGGTTGATAATAAGGAAGATATCGTCCGTTGAAGATTGCGACCGCTCAAAAACCGTTCAAAATAGACAGAAAATATTTAGCTAAACTAGAGCAATTACGAAGAAGGACAAATGGACAGAGAATTTTAGTTTTGAATGCTCTACTCGAAATCAATTTTAGTTTTCTAAAATTTGACCTACTTGTCAGAGATATTTGGGAAAAACTTATTTAAGGTAAATTTTTAAATTACTCCTAGTTCCGTTGATATTAATTTGACAGGAAAACATTAAATAGAAAACTTGTAGGAAATTGAATTCCAATCAAAATGAGACATTTCTCCAAAATAACTGTCATTTTGGCAATATGACACACATTTTAGTTTTTAAATTGCAACCATAATTGATTATTGCTCGACCGAATAGAGCATTTTATTACCATTTCTGTGATATTTCACATCGTTAAGTTTTTTTCGAAAATAAAGTGTTTGGGAACAATTTATACTTTTTCAATTTAGTTGATCGAAGTTAGCCATGGAAAATGGTATAAGACATACAGGCATATGTCAGTTCCTAAACACCGTTGCCCATTCAGTCAAATTGTTATCTACGTGGTATGAGTGACGGTGACGATCGGCTTCGCGAAAAAATCGGAAACTTTCGCGATTTTTGTCATTTGAAAGCGGCAAATTTGTGATTTTCTGAAAGTGGAAAATTTATGTGACTGTTTTGTGGTGTTTTTCTTCTAGGCAGAGCGTTTTTTGCCGAAAAAATCATATTTATAATTGTGCTCTGACGTTTGCTGTCAGGCATGAACAAACATAGTTGCCACCGATTCAAGAAGATAGTTTAGATCCCTGCAGTAAAATTCGTATTTGTTACTGAATGTTTCCTATTCACGTGGGCATTTGGAGTTGTGAGAACAGTTTGAGGTTTACTGCACGCTTTTGGATATTTTATTCGATCGCAAAAGACTGATGCGGCGGAAGATTGCAGATTTATGATAAGTGCAATTTTTCCTCTACAAATTTTTTTGATTTTAACTCGATTAACGCAAGCACTCGGCTCCTTTAGAGAGAGAGGGAGAGACAAGTAAATTATCTATTTCTCTCGCATAGGCACAAACAGCTGCTGAGTAATATTTAAAAAAAACTGTATACTTTCTTAAAACTGGGGTTCCTAAAAGTAGAGTACGGCTCTAAAAAATCCATATTTACCAGCTAACGTACAAAACCCACCGAGAAAAATGTGTTTGCGCGGAAAATATATGATGGTTTTTAAATCGATTTGAAATACCGCTAAAATTAGTTAAAAATGATTCTAATGTACAGATTTCGTGATGTGTTAATCTCAGGCAGCCCCAACACTTGTTTTAAACCTGAAGAAATATAACGTGTTTTAGAAATTCTCCGATTTGCAATTTCTAAAACTTCTACTTAAGCAATTCTGTTTCGAAATATCAGTTCATTTAGCGCGTGCTTTATTCTGATGATACCTACCACAGGAGCAGAAATTCAATTTAAATAGCGTTTAAGCAATTTCAGAAAATCGGCTTCAAGCAAAAACGAATTTAATTTCAAAGCCAATCTGGTTGAGTATAAAAATTAAACTATCGCTTACCAGTTTCCTTAATAGCTGTGTCGTAATCCTTCACATCCCCAAGGTTTATAAATTTTCCAGGCATGATCACTTTAGGTCAATTAATTAATATTATGTCACTGCTTGTAACATTGATTTACGCCCGTGTAGATTTCGATACTAATTGGCTTTGCGTCTTTTGATTAGTTTGTCAGTGATAATTTACAACTAAGAATAAAACTTATTTTTAAAATGACAGAAACGATCGGGTCTAAACCATTAAACAGGCATTAACTGTTTAATCTCTGATGATTTTCCTGGAGTTAACAGAAGAATGCCTTAGCGATAAAACATAATTCTTGGCCCGACCTAATTGCTAACTATCCCTTAGTTAAAGAAACTGTATTATGATAAGTGCGATACTTTCTTTGAATGGTCAGTGCCGAATCTAGTGGAAATACATCCTATTTTTCTTCGGATTAGTTTTTCAATACCAGTTAAAACTTGTGTTGAATTTACCGTCTGCTTTTGCTAAGATGAAGCATTTGGTTTATGAACTGATTAATTGAGTGCAACTAATTTTTTTAGACAAAAAATTCAAATCCGCTTCTGTTGAGGTCAGAAATGGTATCAGTTTAATGCTCACATACGTAAAATGTTAATAAACATAAGATTTGTTGTAATCTTGTACGCGTTTGTGTAAAATTTCCAATCAATTGCACAGCTAAATTATTTTTTTAATTGCCTTCCCTTATTATTGTTTTCATTTTATTAAACATTGTTTTTAAAATCAGCCGCTCGAAATAGCTTTATTGGGTGGTATTAAGACATTTCAATAAATAAAGCGAACGATTAATGTTGAAATCGAAGCGTTCATTTGTGTGATCTTTAGTAATTCATAACAATGCACTAATAAGAACAAAGTCTCTATTTTATAAGCTTGTAAGTCAACAAATTTAATCGAGATTTGTGATAATGTCAAGGTTTTGCAACCACAAGTAATTAGACTACGATTGGACGTAAAAGTTTGATTAAAACTGCATGGAAGAAAAACTTAAAAAGCACGAAAGAAACCATTTAGCAGATTAACTGCTTGGCAAAAGAAAGTGGGGCTGAACAGTTTCTAACGGATTTGTTGTGCCGAGCCGAGAATTGAAATTTATTCGAAACTGGAAAGTTCTAAAATGAAATGCTCAAGATTTTTGCATTTGAATGTTTTTATGATACTAACGGTAGAAAACATGAATAGAACCCTTACCTGTTAGACTAATCGCTCGATCAAAATCTCCAGTTTCTCCGGGATATAATTTCTCCACCATCTTTGTGAACTAAAATGAGTCCCAAAACTGGGATTGCATTGCATAAAATCAAATTAAAGTTTTGATTTTGAGCCGTGAATGTTTTAGAAACAAATCGCCGAACAGTTAAATAAGCAAAGGTTATTAAACAAAAATGTTTAAATAGCGTTTCTCTACCCTTGAGACGACGATAAACGGCTGGTATTTAGTTCCACGAGGGTTGCAAAGAAATGTAAACTTCTTGGAAATCCATTTGAGAGCAACAGCCCTACATGGTGGTCGCCCAACCTCTATTATTATCTTTCGGCCCTTGTCCCTTTAGTTCATTAAAAACTTCCTGTTTCTCTACAACCGCTTTATTGTTGTTGTTCTTTATTAGCAGCATTTTCATCATTTCTCATTAGTTAGTTTCTTTTGTCTACAGAGGCGGATCCAGCTTTAAATTCAGGTGGCGGTTATGTAGAAAAATTACAGTCTTCTGTTGTCTATTAAATTAGAAAAATTATCGTCGTTTTGTGCAAGGGTGGTGTAAGATTATTGCAAAATTTCATGTTTTTTGTCCCGTTTTGCATGTTTCTCAGTAGCAAAATGAGCAAGAACGCCCGTTTTTACATCATTCCAGAAATAACTAAATGGCCTTTATTCGAAGTTTCTCAAGAGCCATTCGAGCCACAGAATTCGTTTTGGCATCGTTGGATAGAGAATTGAAAAGTGGATCCAGTCGTAACAACGTGGTCAGGAAATTCGAGTAGTTTTGACCCAAAAAGCGAAATTTGAATATCAGACACTTAGGTGCAAGATTATGCCAAAATTTAATGTTTTCCGTCCCGTTTTTGCTCATATCTCGGAGGCAAAATGACCAAGAACGCTCATTTGTACGTCATTCTAGAGAGAAATAAATGGCCTTTTTAGCAAATGAACCGTCGATAAGGAAATGTTGGCAGTTTTATCAAAAAATGCTTGAATTCAAGAAGTTTTAAATTTGCGTGTTTTTTTTTGAGTTGCAAAATCCACTTGAACATGGCGCTGCGTTTTTCGAAGTTTCTCAAGAACCGTTCGAGCCAGACAATTCGTTTTGGCATCGTTGGATAGAGAATTGAATTGAGGGGGNCTTGTTTGTCTATTCCGATGATCCTTGATCCCTGTAGCTTGATTCCTCCGGTATTAAGGGCAAATATTTATTGAACCCTTTAATATACATTAAGGAATGATGAATGGGCGTTTGAAAACGTTGACGCCGGCAATGTGCGAAAGTAGTGGCAAGATTAAATAAATTTTTCGCCCCCGTAAAACCTTTTTAATCTCTACTTGCTGTCCCCGCTTTAGTGGGTGGAGTCTTTGTGGTCACCCTTTATTTGGGCGCCTTGTTTCCCATGCTATGGGGAAGGGCCAAATCAGGATACGTTTTACGTTTTATCTTAGTCTGCACTCCTGGTAATGACCGCATGCAATCTGGAATATCTTGGATATTCCTGGAAGAATTTCCAGAATAAATTTTCAATCGGATTGCTGATAGTAGTAAAATATAACTACAAATGCCTCGAAAGAATCAGATAACGAGTCTAAACAAAAGTTTAGCAAAAAGAATTTTTGGAGGAGCTGGGATTTGAACCCAGGACTTTCCGCATGCGAAGCGGACACTCTACCACTGAGTTACACCCCCGATGAAGACTATTCTTAAAAATCTGGCTTTCAAGCTGACGGCATAAAAAACTTGGAAAATAAATTTTTTGTTGCAGTGCATCACTCCAACTCTTACAAAAACTAGTAACTATTTCGATTCGCATTCAAATATTCCAGCTAAAGCTATATATGTATATAAGATTAAAGCTTTCCATCTGGTTTTGTGATCATTTCCAATATGATTTGAATATTACCATCCACTTAAAATGTTTGAAAATCACTAATGTTAGCAATTAATATTTTAAAATAATTCCAAAATTATTTTTTCTGCAAACGCTGTCCTTGTTTCTCGCGTGTGCAAGTGAGAAGACAAAAACCGCTTGGGAAATAAACGACTTCAACTGAATTTTGCTTGTGATTTGGGCGGATTTTATACCATCTCACCCACACACTAAAATAATAGTTAATGACAACAAATACGTTCGTATCAGGGGATTTTGCTTCTTCTTGACCAGATTATAAATGGTATCTGTATCGGAACTTAACGTGGCCATCTCAAACTAACCTCTGTGATCTGTGGTTAACCTTATTCCTGCAGTTGTTTTGAACAAGAAGATTATCAAATAAAAATGCTCAAAAACTCATTGAGATTTGGAAGAACAGTATTGGCTAACTCTCCGGGTAAGTTTTGAGCTCTAGAAGTCACATTTCAGATGAACATTTTGGACTTTTTGCTTTGCGAAGACCCTTTGATTGATTCAATTGTTGGGTGAATTCTAGCGGTTTCATTTCTTTGCCAGATCACGAAAAAGCCAAAATCAATCCTCTTATACTGTAGCCAAACAGTTGGAAATTGTAAAGCTTGTGACAACGACCCTGCAAGGTCGAAAGCGCTTTCTATATTTTTTTCAACAAATGTTCTTTATTGTGCGCGTTGTTTCAGTAAAGTTGCACTCTTCTGCTACATTCAGCGAAAAATGGGACTTGCTTACAGCGGTTTTAATTGAAAGAAAACCAGTGACTTCCCCCGAGTTGACCGGCATCGAAAAGGATTTTAAGGAATACTTAAGCGCAGTGGAATTCGAGAGAAGCCTTAAAAATGATACGGAGATTAATCTTGAAAAAGAACGGTATTGAGTTAGCACCAGCACAATGTTCCCCTATAAGAAAACTGTTACTTTTAGCGCCATCACAACACAGAAAAAGGAAATTGAAGACTTGGATTTGAAAAGCACGCGAACAACTCAAGATTTTATTGACGCCTGTAAAGAGGAGTTTGCTAAATTTAAACCAGCCGAAAAAACGACTGGTTAGTTGGTGAATTACCAGGATTCAATAAATTGTCTGCGGGTTATTTCAGCGGCAGACCAGACAAACGAAGTGAAGTCGTTGCAGCGGAAACTAAGCAAACATTTGATTTTCGTACAAAACCAGAAAATTGGAGACCAAAGTTTCTATATTTTACCTCAAGGGATAAGGGAAGACGGTGAAACGTTGCGACAATGCGCTGAACGAGTACTGCAAGAGAAATGCGGCGATCAAGTCAAAGCTCAAATATTTGGGAATGCCCCCTGCGGATTTTACAAATACAAATACCCGAAGGCTGTGAGAAGTGAAACCAGTGTTGGTGCAAAAGTGAGTAAACCATTCCAAGATGAAGAACTACTGATGTTATTCTACAAATTTGTGTGGTTCCAGGTATTTATCTATTTTGCCAGATATGCTTCCGGACAAATTGCAGGGAGCGAGAGCGACTTTAAATGGCTGGACAAATCGGAGCTGAAAGAAGTGTTGCCTGCGTCCTACAGCCGAAGCGTTTTGCCCCTTTTACTAGATTAGTAGATAACCACAGTATATTTTAAAGCAAACTCGCAAGCTTTTAAAAATGTTTAGTTATCGCGGATAATTTCTTGTTGGGTGACGAAATAAAACCAACAAAAACTTTTAAATTTAATCTTCATTTCGGAAGGGATCACCCCATCCCAAATAAAGATTTTTTTATTAAATACCACTCTAGTTCTTCATTTAAGAGGAATAAACCTGGAGCTGTGAGTAGCACCAATACCTGGCCTACCGTGCTTCACAGGTTTGTAAGTCAAGGAGAATTCTCCCAGATAGTGTCCAATCATTTCAGGTTTGATTTCCACCTGTGTGAAGGCTTTTCCATTGTAAACGCCCACGATGGATCCCACCATTTCAGGAACAATGATCATGTTCCGGAGATGAGTTTTCACGATCTCCGGCTTTTCTAGTGGTGGTGCTTCTTTTTTGGCCTTTCGCAACTTCTTAACTAAGGCCATTGGCTTGCGCTTCAGTCCACGGCTAAAACGTCGCCTTGCCCGACAGTGCATCAACTCCATGAGTTGTTCACTGCAATAATAACAATCATTAATATTTGCCAGGATTGAAATCAGCGTTTCTACTTTGTCTGTCTGATTATTATTCAACTATGATTTGTTTAAAAGGAATGAAAGATCCCCACCGTTTGTTGTCATCAGAAATCACCAATAGCATGAAGAGCTAGCGGATAGGTAAAAACAGCAGAAAAAGGGCATATCAAGACCCCAAGAGCAAAAGCATTGTTTCAGCGGCAAGATAAAGAATGACCGTCTTAACGAGCACATGTGAGATCTGATGTTTTCATGTACAACCCACGAATTAGTACCCCAATCTTTACACTCGGTTATTTCCGCAGTTTTCAATGCAGCACTTATTCAGACACTAGCAAATACACTAAGTGTAGGGCTTACTTTGGCATGTCCAAAAGTTGGTCCAGATCAACACCTCTGTATGTGAACTTTTTGAAGGTCCTCTTCTTCTTGACTAGCTCCTCAGTCTAAAAAAGTAAGTTACGAATTAGGCCCTTTTTGCTAACAAAAACGCGTAAACTTAAATGTAGTGTTTAGTAACCTTAAGTTTGTGAAAAAGTGGAAAATTCCCAAAAACGGAAAATATCTCGCTTACCTTGTCTGCCATGGTGTTTAATTGGGAAACTTTACTTTTTCGATGAAAATTATTCCGAGTTTAGTAAGATTTTCGAAGATTGCGAAAATCGAAGAACAAACAGCAGCAACACAAATTGTGAAAGGGACTGAAACCATAGATAAAGACAAGTGACAGGTGTAAAATTGGAATAACTATCATGAAATCTGGCATTACAGCAATTTTCCATTGCAGATTTTACAAATATTTTTGATATAGCTAGATAATTAGAGGAAATTTTATCTGTATCTAGATAATGCTCACAATATTTTCTCTCCCTATATGTTTTTTAAATCATTGTTAAAATTATGTAAATTGGTCCATGTTGCCAACTGTTGTACAGCCATTTCGTTGAAAAAAAAAGAAGAATTTTCTTAACCTCAATCTTACTACTCAAAACTTTTTTAATTCGCCATAAGTTAATTCTGATTTATTCTTCATTTATAAAGTGCATAATGTTTGCGAACAAGTTGCTTACCCCTTTCCAGCCAATGTTAGTGCTAAGTAGAGGGGCTGGAGTAAAGAAATTTAATTGGTATAATGAAGGAATTCAGTACCCTGGTTTCAAATACTACCCCAGGTTTGTTACAATATAATTCAAATAATATAAGTACAAACCCAAACAAAATAGAATGTTGGCAACGGCTTATGAACCAGTAGATCACAAATTATTAAAATGTTTTATCTATTCACGAAGCCGGCGTTAAAATATTGATCTTCTAAATTAATAAAACACTTTTTATGGATCAGACATGACGACTTCAAAGACCCCCCCTACGAGCCCACCAAACTGTTTCGAGTAAAACGTATCGTGAGAATGAAAGGGCTGATCCATTATCAGAAAACCATACTTACAGACTTTAAACTAGACGGAAAAGTAAGTATGCGATAGAATTCAGTGTGGCCAAAGTTGTTTTTGTTGGAAAATACATTTTTATAGAAACAGGCAATTTTTGATTTGTAGGACTATGCAATAATAAAAAACATCCCAGAAAACAACCAACGTTTGTGGAAAGTAAAGCATGCAGTGGAAATAGTGCCGGTAACATTTCCCGATGGGTTTCCCACAGAAACAGACCGAACGTTCTTGAAGGAAAATGGAGAGCTTCGGATTATAAAGCAAGTTGGACCTGTTGAAAAGAAATTGGAGCTAACGGAAGAGTTTAGAAAGCATCCAAAACGAATGGATGGTGATACACTGAGAAGAAATTTGAGGAAAAAGTGGAACTTAGGATTCGAGTCGCATTTGTAAATGGCATGTATTGTAGAGGTCATTTTCACACTTTATCGGCTAGATGGATGGACATTTCCAGCTAGCTGTTCGCAAAGAAAATAATTCAAACAGATACCAGTATAAATAAATTTATTTACAAATCAGCTTTGGTTTTAATATTAAGTAAGTACATTATGTATAGAACTAACTATACTGTCATTGCCCGCAGCAAGGCAAGCAGGCAACAGGTTTTCCACTATATGCCCTAGAAGCTAGTATTGCTTACGTAAAGTCAATTATTGTTATCACAATTTTAATGTGTAAGGCAAAAGTACTGGACCAAATCACGTTACTGAAATTTTTGCTTTACACACTTATGTCTTGGACGGGCGCTTCATAAGATTTGTTCATTCATATTGCTGATGCGATCTTAATCTACACTTAAGTACGAAATTATTAAATACAAAACAAACAAGACACAGAGAAGTATAACAAAAATCAGTCGTTATTGGAGAAATTCACGATTTACAGATCTAACTGAGGAGCAAAGTTAAGTACCTAGTTGTGAGTCACAGCAGTTTTACTCAAGTACTGCATTGATTGGGAAATATCCTAAAAATAGCCTATCTACAACACTAATGTTCAGAAATCTTCCTCGTTTCATAATATCTATGTAATTCAATTGGGGCAAACGAAAAAAATGAATTTTGAAAAAATTTAACTATGCCACATCATCCAGCCTCGTTTTATGGCAGTAAATAATACTGATTAAATTAGCCTTTCTTCCGGCGGAGGCTTTAAAACGTGGTCTAGTTCAACGCGGGGATTTGAAAACTCTTGAGCCGACGGGCTGTACGTGCCTCTTGTGGCCCGTTTGCTTCGGGCTACGTTCACCAAAATGATCATCCCTATTAGGAAGCCGAGCAGCAGAATAAGTACTATTGGCACTATTATGTAGAGAATGTTAATGCCCGTGTCGGCGCGAGTTACCGCTTCCTGAAAAGAAATTTCAACGATAACCACCGCAGCAATATACACAGTTGTTTCCGACTTGCCTTTAAATCTGAGCAATTCTTTCCAATCCAATTCTCATCGCAAACGCATAGATAATCTGGTCGGTCAGTGCACTGAGATGTGCACACTCCATGCAGACAGGTTTCTTCGAACACGCATGGATCATTTAGAGCGCATTGGTATCCACATTTCCCTGTGTTACCACAAGTGCATCTGAAAAAACACCACATTGATAGTTCGTCTAAATATTTCCCTTTCCCGTTCAAATCCCACCTGTACGACCCCGGCATGTTTTCGCAAGTTCCGGTTCCGCAAGGCGCAGGTTTATTGTTGCATTCATCGATGTCCATTTCGCAAAGCAAGCCCTTATAGCCGGTGCCTGAGCAATTACAATCGTACCTTGATATTCCATCAATGCATATTCCGCCGTTTTGGCAGGGGCTGCGCCCGTTCGCCGAAACGCATTCGTTGATATTATTTTCGCACAATCTGCCGTCAAATCCCGGATTACACGCGCAGAATGGAACCTAGACAAACTCATTTTTTTTGATTCAACATTTTTTGCTTCAACCGTGTGTGTGTTACCTTTGTGGCATCGCAGAATCCAAATTTGCATTTCTCCACGTCGCAGAACGGAGTATCGCATAAAGGCCCCTGCATTCCCTCCGTGCAAAAGCACGTGAAATTGTTGCCGGTTTCAAAGTCTAGAAAAACATTTAATACGGTGAAATGCAATTGCTCGATAATTGCCTGCACTTACTGGGCCCGGTTTTGCAAGTTGCGCCCTCCTTGCAAGGACGATTTTCACATGTGATTAGCAGCGGCGCCTCGCATTGCCTTCCAACGTAACTATCAGCGCACTCGCACTTAAAAGTACCAACCAGATCGTTGCAAGTACCACCGTGCTTACAAGGATTGCTTTGGCACTCATTGATGTCTATTTGGCAACTGGAAAACAACAAGAACAGGGGAATATTTTCGTCCATTGCTCAGCAAAAAATGCGTTTCTAATTCGCGCTGAAGGTAGATTTAGTGACAAAAAATCACTAGCTTCGCAGTATGACGCATTGATCGATGGTTCTCATTAGCAATTCAATGAGGCTCCTGGAGCAGCAAAAACTGACAAAAAAAAACAAATTTCTTTAACTGTTTAACCAGAGGCTAGATCGAGGCTTAAACGCAATTCTCTATTTGGGGCAACTGCCTCAGACTGATCCGCAAGTGCCAAAAAAGGCCATTTTTGTTTGCATTATAGATTTAGAGCAGTTTTTGAATGGCTGTACGACTCCTTTGTCATTGGATAATTGTTCGCCTGAGACGAATAGTTGTCGAACTCCATAACAAACACACTGATAAAATTACTTACTTTTCGCCTTCGTATCCCAGCGCACATTGGCATTCATATCGGGCAATTAAATCGATGCAAGTAGCGCCATTTTCACACTGATTGTTTTCGCACTCATTAATATCGATGGAACAATCGTCTGCCGCATAGCCTTAGGAATCGAACAGTTCATGACGCATCACGAATACGATTAGGAATGATTACCTTCATTGCAAATACATTGATAAGTGTCCGTACTGTTGGCACACTGTCCTTGATTATTGCAATCGGCGTCGTAGCACAAAACACAGCCTAAATCGATTTCGCTGGGGGATTGCAGTTCGAAAAACTCTTCACTGTATGTGTCTTTGTGGTAGATTTCCTTTGTAGTGAAGTAGGGAAGTAACAGGCCGCCTTGCAACGAAAATTAAAATATCAGGCATCTTTGCAAGGTATCTGTGCAAGGATTAGGAGCTTACCGATGCGAATTTCGCTAACACAACCCTTGAATCTATCAGTTTTCTTATTTTGGTCGATTTTGTACAAAAACCCGTCATCGACGAACATTTCTCCGCTTTCAAACGAGTTGCTGATCACAAGTGGATCGACCGTGGTCGTGTCTAATTGATTCGAGTAGTTCGTTGTGTTCAGTTCCGTGCTCTCAATAGCTGAAAATGGACAATAGTTTCCTTACTGAGACAACCACAATTCCAGTCTTACCAGCCACGAAGTTGAAAGTCTTGTTATCGCTACCAGCCACGTAAATATCGCCCTCTTTAAACAACTCCGTCAAGGAAACGACGTCGAACTGCGCGCTTTCGACGTTCGGGAATAGATCCAGCACATTTTCTTTAAAACCCCCTAAAAAAGCAAACGATGTAACGCACGCATTTCAAAAGCATTGTTGAAACTCACCTTTAAACGTTTGATCGGTGAAGTGGAACAACAACGTCAGCCATTGGCCCTGGAAATTATCCTTTTTAAAGCGATGCGTCGTTATTCCCGACCCCAAATTCCACTGGACTACCACTTCGTTGTGGTAAATGAAAACCGTAAAGTAATCGGCATTGTGTTTGGCAAATAACAGCGTGCCCCAGGACCTAAAGGAACCAAATCGTAAAAAAGCTAAAACCAAAGCTTCTCGCCATGCCTTGTCCGGTAGGTCAGCTCAATTTCCTCCACATTAAATCCCCGACTGGAGTTTGCCAAAATGGTTAGGGCATATTGCAAGGGCTCTTGCTTTCCGTTAAAAGTCGCGTTGGCAATACATTCGTAACCATCTTCAAGATTTTTGCATACGGCCCCCTTGGGGCAGCCCTCTATTTCGCAAAACTCCAGCTCGTTGCAGGTTTTCCCTTTGAAGCCTTAAACAACACCGGCAGGTCAATGGGGCTTAAGTCCACGAGCGATTGAAAATGCTACCTCTTGTGCATTGGCACCTGTAGTCATTCCATGTATTTTCGCACACTCCGTTGTGGTTGCACGGATTCTCTTTGCACAAATCATCGGAGATGATTCCCTCTAGAACCAAAGAGCGGTCGAACGAGACGTTACCTAGAGGAGGTGGAATGAGCAGTTCTGGAGCGGAAATCGGGAAAAACTCCACTACCATTATGCTCGAGCCATTGCTGATCTACGAACAGTCGTTTGTATTCACTGATTAGTTCTGTGTAATCGACTTACTTGAACATCCTGAATAATTCCCTTAAAGTTGACGTTGCTAAGAGAAGAGGTAATGGCAGCAGGCGCCGTTGGCGCCGCCAAGTCCACCTTTGGAAGCGCATTTTCGGTGGCTTGACGCACCGCTCTGAGTAGGGGCTGTCCTCCCAGGTAGAGAACTTGAGCGTGCAAAATGCCACTGGCTGAAATCGTTTTCCGGAAATACTCCGTACCGTTGAGCTTCACTTGAACCAAAGTCACATTCCGAATTACTTCAATCAGATGAATGTAACCGTTATCCAATTTAACTCCTGACACTGGATATGCTTCGCCCGATCCATTAAACTGTATTCTGACGAAAAGTTCACCTGAAATTAACCAACTTGGTGAGTGGTGAGATCGTGAGTTTGGTGCGCTTTACCATTTTCCAGTTGAGCTGCCACGTAGGTCTCGTCGTTGTAACTTTGGCTGGCTCCTGCCGACCCCAGATAGAAGATCTGCCCTTTGCTCTGTCTGGTTCGAATAAACATCGATATATCCACAATGGTGCGAATTGCGCGCCGAGCGGAATCGAAAACGTCTACCTAATAACAGCAGCATTTTACACAGCCGACTGGTCTGATTGTGGAAAAACCTACAGTAACCAAGGAATCGGAGATATCTTCATTTCCAAAAGTGGCCGCTGTGTAGTTGTACTGGCAAGTGTTCCCCAAAAACGGCCGTGTGCAAGAACAGCTGAAATCTCGCCACTTATCAGTGCAATGGCCACCCGAGTGGCAAGGGTTTGGTTTACATTGCGGCTCTCTAACGCAGCCGATTTCGGTGTTTTGGAACGTCAAAGCGGTGGTGTTGCGAGTTTGGGGTATTACCCACTCGGAATTGATTTGAATGTCCTCGGCGCAGCCTAAAAGCCCCGACTCGCCCCATTAAACAAGTCCTGAAATGCTGATTTTTTGCAAATTGCTCACCAACTAGAAATGGTTGCCCGCGGGTCAATTTCCGCAAGTTCGAGGGAATGCCACCGATGTACGTAACAGGAAAACTGAAAAACCGTTGCAACAGGCAATCGAGAAACCAACTGAATCAACTGCTACTGACCTGGTCGAGGACACATTGTAGTTTTCATTAAACGTAATGGGGTAAATGGTCTGTTCCTCATTGGCACTAAGAACGAGATGTGTTGAATTAATAGCCACAAACACTTTTTGCCAATTGCTGTCGTTTAAGTTAGAGCCAATGAAAACGCCCTCCCATTTGTTCAGCAGGCTTGACTGGAGATTAAGCCGTCCTCTGGCTAGCTCCAGGATATAATACGTCAATCCCTTGCCTGGAACAATCAAGGGAAATTAAACGAATCCAGTAAAACCCTTTCAGCGCCCACCTAAAGCCAGCAGCCCATCACCGAGAGTGGTTTTGAACCGGAATTGGATGTCATATCCTTCATCTCTGCTGGTGTTGATGGTAACCAAAGATTGCCCTAAAACAGCAGATTTGAACCAGTTTCATGATGGTGCTTCAGTATGCCGCACCTGAGAAAGACATCGTGGTTTTATTTTCACAGGTGTAGCCGTGGAAGCCGTTCGGGCACGAACAGTTGAACTTATGCTCAATTTCATTTATCAAGTAGGGCCGACAAACGCCGCTGTTTTGGCAGGGTTCTTCCTCGCAACCTACAAGGGCATTTGCAACAGTTTTTGGGGACATTTACGATTCGCCAGTTTACCTGTGAGGCGGACGGAACAGTTTTTTCCGCCAAAGTCTGGATCGCAGGCACAAAAGTAATTTGCCACCCGATCAATGCAGGTTCCGTTCACGCAGGGCTCGTATTTCTTGCACTCATCGATGTCCTAAAATTGCAATCAATGTCCTAGATTATGCGTTTTTAAGGATGTCTCCTGCATACTAACCAGTTCGCAATGCGTGCCCTCAAAACCGTCTTCGCATTCGCATTCGTAATCCCCGATTTTGTCTATGCAGGTGCCAAATTGGCACGGATTCGATTCGCATTCGTTGATGTTGATTTGGCAATTTTCGCCGATTACTCCCTTAACACACAAGCATTCATATCTAGGAAAATTAATTGTAATTGAAATAACTAATAGATTCAACTGGCATGTTCATGGGATTTACCCATCAGCATCCTCATAGGTAAATGGTTTTCGGAACGATTCAGGCAAGCTGATTCCCATCTTCGCAACGAATTCGGCACTATACAGTGTTACGTTTGATTTTTCCAAACACAGTCCGCCGTATTTGCAAGGGCTGCTTTCGCACTCGTTGATGTCGACTTCGCAATTTTTTCCTTCGTATCCCTTAAAAACAGTTATTAGTTACCCAATCACAATGGAGCGGCATTCATCATTGATCATTTGCATTGGCTTACTTTGTAGCATCTACAGTCGTAGTCCTTAACTTTGTCAATACACTCAGCTCCATTCATGCACGGATACCCTTTGCAGTCGTCAATGTTGATTTCGCAATAGAGTCCTTCGTAGCCCGTATCTGTACAGTTGCAAGTGTACTCGTTTAGTCCGTCGATGCATTCGGCACCGTTCTGGCATGGATTCGACTGGAAAATACAGCAGTTTGAAAGCCACTGCGTGCAGGGATTAGTGGCTTTTGTACCTGGCAATCGTCTATGTTAATGTCGCAAGTTTTCCCCGTAAGACCCGGTGGGCAAATGCAAATAAAATCGTTGATTTCATCCTTGCATGTTCCTCCGCCTACACAGGGATTCGAGGCACATTCATCGATTTCCTGGCTACAATTCCTGCCCTCATACCTAAACGAGCATAGAAAGGATGAGATTTCAACTGCGTATAGGCAGGCATAACAACGTATTACCCGGGCTGACAAACGCAAGTATAATTATTTATCAAATCCACGCAAGAAGCCTTGTTTTGGCAGGGTTGTGGCAAGCACTCATCGATGTCGATTTCGCACCTAAAACCCATTTTCAATGTCCGACTTTTTGAAATGTTTTGCACTTACCTTAGGCCGGTAAACCCAGGCTCGCAGTAGCACTTGAAGCTTCCAATGGTGTTAACACACAGCCCAGTGGTGCATATTTTTGTGTTCGGGATGTTGCATTCGTCAATATCCATGTCACAGTACGGCCCTGGAACAATGATAAATCGCAGCTCGAATGGTTCGCAAAAATTCCATAAATACCTGTGAATCCCGGCCTGCATTTACATGCCCAATCGTTGCTAGTTGTATCAACTATGCAAGTGCCGTTAATGCATGGATCTTTCGAGCAAGGGTCTATATCAATGCTGCAATCGTCCCCAGTAAAACCTGGCCGGCATCGGCATTCGTAGTCGTTCACTAAGTCCAGGCAAATCTAAGGCAATCGAACATGAAACCGGGATTTCCAGAGCAGTAAACGTCCAAAATTACCTGCCCTGGTGGGCATGTTACACCTTTGCAGTCATCTTTGTTGATTTCGCATTTTACACCCTCAAAGCCAGATGGACATCTACAGGTGAAATCGTGCTTGGTTTGAGATACACAGGATCCATTGTTCTGCAATCGATTGTTTAATGAATAAACGAGGCAATAGGGAATTATTCCAGATATTCACCTGACAAGGTTGTAGTTCACAAACATCGTAGGGTTGTTCGCAATAGGGCCCCATCCAGTCGTCAGTACAATTGCAGTAAAACGAATTCACTCTGTCTATGCAGATGCCGCCGTTTCGGCAAGGATTCGATTGGCAATCATCCACATTAGTTTGGCAATATGTACCTAAAACCACGAAGAATTCAGTAGTATATTTAATACTAACGAAGTCTTGCAAACTGCCACAAAAACAAAAATCTACAACAGCAAACTACCACTCAGTTAGTAGTGGACGGGATTTAGAGCCTTTAATTTATGTACGTCTCCACATTGAAAAATCCCAAACTACCCGACTTTTCGGCAACATTTCCCCCATTAGAACAACGCCATCAATTAAAGCTCCTTATTAGGAAATTTAAAGCCATACAGTCATTGTATCTATATCTATCTACCTGCAAACCCTGTTCTGCAATAGCAGAAAAACCCAAAACCATTTTCCATACAAAGTCCATAATTTTGACATGGATTAGTAAAACAGTAGCCAATCTTAATTTCGCAATTGGAACCGGTCCATCCTGCGGCACAGGTGCAAAAATAGCCGCCCAGCTGTGAATAAGTGAGTGTTTAGTAAAACAGTGTTAGTTACTACTCATTTGCGTTGCGTTTTAGTAAGGCGGATTAGGTGTTCATGCTCTAAGTGACTTGGAGGTGCTAAAAGTGCAAACTGTCCCGATTCACACTTGAACATGGCAAATAGACATAAATTGATGCTAGTTTGTACTTGCTACTCTAGCTTATACAGTCAGCACTCATTTTTTTATAAAGTTCAAAGCTCCTAATTTTTATACTAATTAACGGATTTTAATATATTTTTTGCAATTTATACCTGAATCATTTGTCTATTAACTCAAGAGTGTGCGTTAGCGCTTTACTTGAACCCAAAATGTAGGCAAGCAATCCTTTTTAAACGGCGTCTTTTTGTGAACATTTGCTTCTTTCAACCATTGTTTTTTTCTTAAAAAGCAACAAAACTACAGCGTTTTTAACAGTGCAACAAAGGAAAATACCGATATTTATCGTTTTCGGAAACCTGATAAAAAGATGGCTCGGTGTTTTCCTCATTATTTGCCATGGAAAAACCAAATTCAACATTCCTTACGCCTGAAATAATTGACAAAGATGCAAACAAAAAACTAAAAAAGTGATATTAAAATTCTTTGATTCTGAGAACAAAAACGAGAATGCTTTGAACTGTACACAAAAATCAGGTGCGTCCCTTTCTTTGGAAGTTGAATTTTCCCACCAAAGTCTGTTTCAACATTTAGCCATTACTGACTTACATAATCGTAACACGATATTGCATGCAAACAAGGACGATTTTTACAACTGATTCTGTTTTCGCAAAATTTGCCAGTCCAAGCAGGACTACAAACACAGAACGATCCTCCTTTCGCAAGGCATGTGCCTCCATTTCGACACACATCCACTGGACATAATGCGGTTTTATCGCACGAGCGCCCTGTTATTTTGAAAATTTATGCATGCAAAACAATTATTCTGTGAAAAAACGGGTTTAGCAAAAGTTACCTGCAAATCCTGGCTGGCAGGAGCAATTGATGTTTCCATTGACTATGTTGCATAGTCCGTTGTTTTTGCATGGACTGTTAGCACACAATGATGTGGCTTTGCAGTTCGGGTATTCGCCGGTGAACTCGGATTTGCACACGCATGTGGCCCCGTTTATCGGATCTATGGAAAACGATTGCAACCGCCACTGCTAGCAACTGAAACCCTTACCTTGAATGCACTCGGAGAACCTGCCGCAGTTCAAAACATCGCAGTGAATTTGCTGTCGATTTTCAAGCTCACAGTTTCCTCCAAAAAAGCCTGGCGGACATTTACAGTCGTACCCCATCGGTCGGCTGATGCATTTTCCGTTGTTCAGGCACGGCTGCGAGGCGCACTCATCCACTAACTAGCAAATAACAAAAATGTCTGGTTGTGTTCTTAATTGGAAAACTTGCAAAGATTTACGCACATTCTGGCAATTTTTGCCAACAAAACCAAAGGGGCACTGGCACAAATAGCTTCCATAGTTATCAAAGCAAATGCCTCCATTCAAACACGGACTGTTTGTGCATTCGTTGATATTCAGTTCGCATAATCTGCCATAGTAGCCAGTGCGATTGCAATTGCAACTGAAGTTGTTCAGTTCATCAGTGCAAAACCCACCTAAAACTCATCAAATTAATACGCATAACCAAATCCTTTGAGGGCCTCGACAGTACCATTCATGCACGGTTTACTTGCACAATCATCGATGTCCAGTTCGCAAATATTGCCGCTGAATCCCGGCTTACAAGTGCATCGCACTGAGTCAGTGTCCATATCAATATCGCAAATTCCTCCGTTCAAGCACGGGTTTTCCTGCAGGTTTTCCAAAAGGTTTAGCTAAACCGCTATGGAGAATTGTAGAAAATTACCTGGCACCTCGGGTGGACTCTCAGCTCGTTCTCACAGTGCCTTCCACTAAAGCCAGGAGCACACACACAGTCATAGTCGCCTATTTGGTCCAGAATGCAAGTGGCCCCGTTTTTGCAATAGGACGGCCGCTTATCGCAGGGGTTTCCTAAGTCGATTTCGCAATTTTTCCCTACAAGCATAATAAAGAAAATGAGTAAAATCCCAGTACGTTTTTATTCAAAAACAACCGTCCAAAATAATTTGAAACTTGCTTGCTAAGCCTTTCTCTGTTTTGCCCTGGTTTCATTAAAAGCAGTAAAACAGACAAATGCTTGCACTTATTCCACCAGATCACAAATCACCACCCAAGAAGCTGCATTGACCAGAGAGCACTACTCAAGACTTAGAAGATAGTTAGCCAGTATGTCTTCACCACCCAAAAGGTCGATTATTGTGGCGCGATCAAAAAACATACACATACCTGTGTACCTAGGCAGACAAGCACAGGTATACGTGTTATGTTTGTGATCATTAATGCAAGTACCATGCCGCATACATGGCTCGTTTAAACAATAATCCAATCCGGTCATTTTCTCTGCAGGCAAACCTAAGCAAATGGTTTCAAAGAAAATACAATCATTATTACAAGTGATCGCAACATGAGTTGCTCCCGAATAGTTATTTCTATTAGTTTTGCGACTTACAGCTGTCCATTGGTATGGGGCACTTCTCAAACGCCACATTGTGGTTGTAGTAAATTAATTTCGAATCAAAAACCACTGTGGGCCCTTCTAGAAGGCAACCATTGAAGTTTTTTCCAATCAGCAGCACTGAAGCTGCGGTGTCATCGTACAGCTTGCTGCTGGTCAGCAAAGGAACGTTGTAGCTGGAATTCGCAATTATCTGGAAAATGGGCTATTTTAAGTGGGATTTTCTTACTGGGTCTAAAGACCCACCTTTTTATCGTCATCGACATCCAAAGTCAAATTCCCAGCACTGTAATATACAAACACCGTATGCCACTTGTTGTTCAAAAAGTTTCCGTAAACCACTTCTTCAAACAGCACCGCGTCCACTTTGGCTCGGAAGTAAACGCCCTTTTTATTCACTAGCAGTTCGATGGATTCTTCGTTTTGTTGCTGGGACAGCAAATTGCCCCCTAAAAGCCATGCTTAGTTTAGGCGGAAAGTCGTAAAAGCTGGAGACAACGTACCCAGACAAGTCCGAAAACTTATTCCTGTGGGCATTTTCAACGACATGGTGTTCTGTAGTCGCAAGTATGAAGAACCATTAAAGTATGCTTCTGGTTGATTGCTGGGTGCCAACACCACCAGGTCACTGAATGAGCATTCAGATATGTAAAGACCTGTAAAGACAAACGTTCTATTGAATATTTGGAACGGTTCTATCATTCGTTCGATTTCCTACTAGATCTTTCGTAAAAACACCGACAGACTATCCATTTTCTGTCGATGCTTTGACGAAATATCAAAGGAATTTGAGGCGAATCAGGTTCGGCTCGTTAGGTTTGGACGCGGCATAAAAATGCAGTCGTTGCGACTTAGGTTTTAAGAAAACTGCGCCTCGGAGCTGTGACCCGCTTTCCCCAGCTGCATTTTCATGAAAACCTATTAAAAAACACAATCCTTGGCCGAAAATAAAAACGTTATCATCTTTAAATTAAATTGAATTGCAAAATAATGAAGGTATAAGAAAGTAATCGCTCAACTGGATTTGGAAGGTTTTATACAGAAAAATAAAACAACATGCATACCTAATATATAAAAATATAACAAAGTAAACATAAAATGTTACAATTGCCGCAACCTTAACCAATTTAAAAAAATACAGTCATCTTACTATCTATCATCCGTTCGAAATTCGCTAGTCTCTAATAAAAACACCAAAAAGCCTAGAAAATACATCCAAACCATCGCCTGCTATTATGTATTTTTACAGCTTGGACTTAAGATGTTTGGCTCTTAAGGCATCGATTTTCGAAGCTGCCGATCGTTGCAATTCGGTCAGCTTCAATGCCAGTCCCATGTTGCCTTGAATTTTCACCTTTCCTTGAAAGAACGCCCTTTGCGGTTCGATTTTTCCGGTTAACAGATCGATTATATCGGCGTCTTTGATTACAAATGTTACTGCAGGTTTGTCCTTGCCATTGAATTCGATTTTGCCCTTGCCTTTCTTTGTATTGATGATCCAGAAACCTTCTTCGCCTTTGTCGTTTTGAACCTAAAAAACAACCAGTTGTAATGGGCGTTGATGTAAAGCGCAACCCTACCTTAAGCCCGTAAATTGCTCTGTGTTTCTCCACCAGTCCGTCCTGGTCTTCTAGCATTGCTTCTTGCAAAATGTGCAAAAATGGGGTGACGATAAATCCATCTTCACTGGCTGCTGCCGCCGTTTTTCTTGCTCGTGTATTGCTGTTTTTGGACTGGGGGAATCCCAGCTGGTATAACGCCACAACTACAGCACCTCCCAAGCCAATATTGTGTTGTAAAGCCAGTTTTGCGTTAGGAACCTAAAACGCCATTCAAGTGGCATAAGAACTGTAGTATAATGAAGGCGATAAATACCTGTCTTGGGCCAGCTTCGCCTCTCAACTGCCAGGATAGTTCGGCACATTGCGCCAATCCAGTTGCCCCTATGGGGTGCCCTTTTGATATCAACCCTCCGGACGGATTTACCTGCAAACCCCAACCGTGCCTCTATTTAAGGGCAATGGAAAGCTGAAAAAGCTTACCACATATTTTCCCCCATATGTGTTGTCGCCTCTATCAACCAACCCTCCAGCTCCCCCAGGGGGACAGAGGTTTAGAGCTTCATAAGTGATCAATTCGTTTGCGGAAAAGCAATCATGCAGTTCCACCACTTGAACATCAGAGGCGCGTTTTCCGGTTTTCTTATACAGGCGATCGGCCGCCAATTTCGTCATGTCATAGCCAACTAACTTTAACAAACTTCTCTCGCTAGAATTGTCCATATTAGCTAGTTCAAAGCATGAGGTTTCCGTGTCTTACTTAAAGGTTGAGGGCAAATCTGTTGCCATTTCCATGCCAAGAATCTCCACTGCTTTTGACTCAAGTCTATGACTTTTTACAAAGCTTTCAGATGCTACAATAACAGCGGCCGCTCCATCACTGGTTGGGCAACACTATAAAGGCACGCGGAAGTATCTAAAGTGAGTCCCAGATAGCAACGCGTTGTACCTGCAATTTTGTGAGAGGCCCACAGACTCGTGGAGATTTTTCAATTTGCTCCAATGTATATTCATCTCTAAACTGCGAATTTGGATTGTTTACAGAGTGCTTGTGGTTTTTCCAGGCAATTTTCACCAGATGCTCCGGCTTTGTGCCATATTTCTTCATATGTTCCAATCCAGCATTCGCAAACATTTGCGCCACGATAGGCGTAGCAGCTAACAAACCGTGAATGTTTCACTCAACTCATTCGGACTGAAGGCCTGGGTAAACTTACAAATATCCACTAATTCGGACATTACTTCAATGTGTTTTTCCATAGGATGCACTCGATCATTAAATACAGAGCCCAAACTGCCTTTTTGCATTTTCTCAAAACCAACAGCCAATGCGCATTCTGCTTTTCCACACTCCACCATTTCTTTTGCCAACATTAATGCAGTCGAGCCTGTTGAACAGTTATTGTTTACATTGAAAATGGGGATTCCGGTCATGCCAACTTCGTAGATTACCTGAAAATGTTAGCAAACTTTGCAGGTGAAATGTTTAGCTCATTTTTATTACTGTTTTGCTTTTGCAAAGCATTTGTCCGATTATTCAGTTGTAAACACCTTGCATTGATAAAGTATATGTATATATACTTTGTTATGGCTCGTATTTATATTACTCCATGATTAATGAAGGAATTACTATGTTGTTTAGACTAATCAATTAAAAAGCACTTACTCTTTGACCACAGGTTGACTCCCCATAGGCAAAGCCAGCCGTTGCCAGCTGTATTTCATTCATTTTCACATTGGCATCCTGAAGGGCCGCCAGGATAGCTTCTTTGCCCCAATCGGGATAATCTCCAGCTTTTGTGCCTGGCTTGTCAAACTTGGTCATTGCGACCCCAATAACAAATACTCGGCCCATTTTCGTTGCTTGTTGGTGCTGCTAAACCGATGTTTCGCTAAAAGCAGATAGAACTGGCAATCGGAAAGTGTTGTTGCCCCCTTCACAAATTGCTTTCTCTTGTGAAGTGGCACTGAGCCATCAAAGTTATCAAAATCAGCTTCACAGGATTATCAAGCCGTTGAGTGACCCAAGAAATATCCGCCATTTCGGGTTAATAACATGCAACAAACAAGATAGTGTGCACATAACAAAAAACACGAACTTTGATTACCAATTGCCGATAATCACTCTGATAAAAGTGGATTATGTACTCTGCTGACTTTCTAATACTTTTCAGGCCTTTCTACTTACCTTTCCCGCTTTATTGCACACCCAGACTAAACACTGTCACCAAGTTTGCTGTTGCCTTTAAGCAATTATTGAATAATAATCACTGAACTTCGTACTACTATTTATTGTTGAGAACATATGAGTGACGTTGTCAATGTTGACATCGATCACAAACGCTATGCGACGTTGCACGATTGCGCGTTTTTTTATTCAGTTCACAATCAAACTTTCTAATTATAAAAAAATATTTTACTGCAACTGGTGAGTGAATCGAGAGTTTAGAACATCGTGGAAAAGAAGTTCTCCGCGACGTTTCGCAAGCACGAGTATCTTGCATCTTCAGAGTGGAGTTGCGCTGAACAACCACCTTCCAAACTGTGCTGTATTTTTTTAAATGCGAATCTTTGAAACCGCCGCAGGTACGAACCTGAAATGCTGACCATATTTAGAAGACACTTGAATCGAAATATTCTGAAAATTTCATAAAAATCGTCCTGAATCCTGATTTGTTCCAGCTTGGTAAATACCAGTCTCAAAAAAGATGTTTTTGCTCAACTGCGCCCTCGGCTTCAAAAATTCGTATCTCGCAAACTACCGCCAGTAGTAACTTGAAATTTTCCCTATCTTTAGAAGACATTCGACCCTACAGATGCGGAAAATTTCATAAAAGCCTTCCAGAATCCCGACTTTTGGCAGCTTGGTAAGCAACAGTCTCAAAATAAATGTTTTCACTCAACTTTCTTTAAAAATTCGTTTCTTCCAACTGCAATCCATCCGCAATGTGGATGTAGAAGTGACATTTTTTAACTGCAACCGAATGCATTTAGTTGGCAGAAGGTGCAAAGTAGCGATTACCTAACAAACACAATCGTTCCTTAAAACCGTTTGAAACCGTTAGGCCAAACTAGTTATTTAAATAAATTGCTGGTACTTTGCGACCGCAATAAAACGTTCTATTACAAGGTAAATAACATGCTGCCATCTAATAACTCGAAAACTGTGTACATCAAATTGCGAAAGAACCGCTTTGGTTAGCGACGTGAATCAGTTGCGGTTACCACCGAGTCGAAACAATCAGAATGATTAATTTGTGTTAATTATGGTGACAGGCAAAGCAGGTGGTGGACAGATTTTTCCAAACGTCTGAAAATCAGTTACTCAAAATTCCAGTTTCTACATTCCACATGGCACAGTCAATCAAACTAGATCAGCAATTCATCAATTTTGCAAAATTCGGCGACACGAAAGCTGATGGAAAAACCATCACTCTCACCCAGGTGGACAAATGGTTCAAACAGGCGCAGGTTTTCGATAAGAAGCTGACTCAAACAGACACCGGCATCGCCTTCAACAAGTTCAAGTCCAAAACGATAACGTTCCCGAACCTGCTCACGTTTATCGAAGATCTAGCGGGGCAGAAGAAAATGGAACCTGATGAAATCAAAAGTAAACTGATGGAGTGTGGCCCGCCGGGCACCAACAAGGCAACAGCCGCTGTTCATACGGGGGCTGTTGATCGACTTACAGACACATCCAAATATACAGGAGCCCATAAGGAGCGCTTTGATGCGAGCGGCCATGGCAAAGGCAAGGAAGGTCGGGATGATTTGGCCGATGATTCTGGATATGTTGGAGGATATAAAAATAAGGATACATACGACAAGAAATGAGGCTATTAATTATTAATACGGCGTATTATTTATTGCAGAAGGGGGGCTTTGGGTTCTTAGGGTAAGCACCAACCGTAGATCCTCCACCCTATAGAAGTAAGAATCTCAGAGGCATCTGCCTGATGTGTGAAATTGATTCAAGTGTAATTGGCTGCACTAGAGCGTTAATAACACAGAAAATCGTACTATTCCACTAATGACCAATCCAAAAATGGTTCTTCTTGACAATATGTGATCTGTTCTAAAATCTCCGCTAGAAACTACGTTTTACCGTTGACAGAATTTAGCACGGCTAAGCCTCAATCTAATTAATTTCAATTGCTCAATTAAATTATAACGGACCAAAATCTGGTGCATTCACGTTGTGGTTGCCCATAATTGGCTCGATTGCAACTGTTGAAACGCTGAAACTATTGAGTTTCACCTCATGCAGATGCAAGCCTGCATGCTAAACTCTTCTAGAAACCAGTACAAATACTTGAAGGGCAATTGAATAAAGGAAGATTGAAGGAAATGAATGACTCAGACAATGGATGGGTCTGCAAGACCAGACAAAGCCAAGACATGCTTGAAAACGGAAGCAAGAAGTTGCGGTTGAGCTGCTCAGGATATCAGACTAAATTTACCGAAAATAATGCAACTCACTGGACAACAACAAGAAAAACTGGTTTTGCTTAGTCTCTAAAGCAATCCCAAGGAAATTAAGACGCTTGTTATTTGCTTGAGTTTTTATGAAACCTTTGGAGGCGACAAACAATACTTAAAACTATTATCAAAATGACTATTAGTATGCGACATCATTATGTGAAGCCAATTACCAGCAACGGCACAATTTAATTAAAAATTGCTCGTACTGAGAGGACTTCAATGAATTGTGGTTAATAACGAAAAATAGTTTTTGTATGAATCAAGGCTGGTTCATTCAGGTGGTCGCCAGCTATTAACCAAGAACACTTCAGCAAGGAATTTAATATGCACATTAATGCTAAGTGGGTATTGGGAAACTTGTCGTTTAAAGCCTTTTACAATGAATTTTATTATATAATTTTCGGCTGGGACCTAATTTGCTTATTACGAAACTAACTGTTTAAGATGGACAACTTGCTACTGAGCTAAAGCCTCTTTCTGGCTGTAAAACCCAACCTTTGAAAGAACAAAATATAATGTTCCTGATACACTCAAACAGTACAGTAAATCCATGGGAAAGTACACTAGTTGTCAAGGATTGTTTTCAATAAAAATTAGCAAATCATTTGCAATTTGCAACAAGCAGCAAAGGAAAAACATCAACAGCAACAACAAACAATGGCTCACAAACTGCGACAATTAGCAACTTGCTGATACCAAGTGGGTGTTGTGTACGTTGAGTTTTTGAGCCGCGGCATATGTTGGATGAATGAATAAGCTACAACCTACTACTACTTACCCAGGAGGGCCAAAATTTTCAATATACTGAACTCCATCCCTAAGCACTGATGTTGTCTTTGGAAATATCGAAGGGGTTGTCGAACAAATCACCACAAACACATAGTATGGATAGTTCTGAATTTCGCAATCGCCTAGACGCGTCTAATAATCTTTAACTCGCAGAAAATACACGAATTGCTGAACAACCACCTGCACAAAAGTCTCTATACTATATTCACCTGTACAAAATGTAAACTAAAGTCAGGTAAGTTTGACAGTGAGTGACAACAGGAAGTTGTTGGCAGGCAACCAATTATACTCTTGGAGCAAGCCAGTTTTCTAGGTGTTTTTCGGGTGTATTATCCGAAAAGCACGTAAAAAACGTAATTTCCAACAATTCAAAGCGTGAATGATTAGTTTAGGAGCAGCAGTTTATTAAAATATTACTTTAACATACGAAATACAAAGTTTTTAAACCTTTAAATTTAAAACCGCCAATATTAATGAGTAATTTTAGTTACTAGTATTTAATTTCGAAGCTGCTTTTATCAAAAGTTTAGTCATCCAGGGCGAAATCAGTGATCAAATAATTTCAAATTGGCGCCAAAAAAACAGGAAGTGCCGCTGACGAAACAAATGACTAATCGTAGATGTCATGGCGCTTAATGTCGGCTGTTATCCCAGAAATTTCGAAAGATCAACGTGTGTGCAGTGGATGAAAACACTTTCTCTGTATATCGCGCTATTTGTTCAGTAGTTACAGTTTACCAGTTGAACGGGTTAACTAGACAGTTGCTGAAGAAAAAAACGGGCAGGTATGAGTGTCGACGCGTATGGACCGAGCTCCCAAACGCTCACGTTTTTGGACACTGAAGAGGCTGATTTGATTGGGGCTGACACCCAGGGCTCCGAATGTGACTTTACGGATTTCACGATTCCTTCGCAAACGCAGGCTTCGCAACACGATCATGCAGGCCCCAAAGTACAAGCAGTGCAGGTTTGTAAGGTTAAGATTATTCAAGGTCGAAAAATGCTTCCTTTATCATGCCTGTGTGAAGAAGCATGCATTTAATTCAATCCTCCAAGCCCTAATTCCTATGGGTTTAATCAAAAATCATTTACAATCTGGATTGTTCTTCAAATTTAGGATGTTTCGAAAGGCCAAATTTCCTCACGTTTTTTCATTAGGAATTGATACTGAGTGCGCTTTTTTAAACAACGAATGAATTTCTTGTCCAAATCCTTTAGATAGATGATAGGGCGGTCTCACATAATAGCTTTACTTTGAAGAATTACCGCCCTATTTGCTCACATACTCGGTAATCATTTTCAGATGAACAACAACATCAGTAAAATCGTAACAACCACCCAAATTCTTGGCGAACTGCAATTTGAAGAGGAGGATGAAGAGTTTTACAACAGCCGAGAGCTGCCAGACTTTGCCTGCAAGTACTGCGGCATCCATGAGCCCCATTGCGTTGTTATGTGCAACATTTGCAAAAAGTGGTTCTGCAATGGCAGAGGGAACACGTCCGGAAGCCATATAATTAATCATTTGGTAATTAATCTGTGGGATTTGCCTTTCTCAGTCAATTAATTCGATTGGGTTGATTTAGGTCCGAGCTAAGCATAAGGAAGTGACTCTGCACAGAGACGGTCCCTTAGGGGAAACCATATTGGAATGCTACAGCTGCGGAGTGAGGAATGTTTTTGTGTTGGGATTTATTCCCGCCAAGGCCGATTCGGTTGTAGTGCTGCTTTGCAGGCAGCCTTGTGCGGCACAGAATTCCCTTAAGGTATATTTTCTAGTGATGATCAGTAGCTTTATCAGAAACATGCATTTTGCCCGCAGGACATGAACTGGGACCAAGAACAATGGAAGCCACTGATTGCGGATCGCTGCTTTTTAACATGGCTGGTAAAGATTCCTTCAGAACAGGAGCAGCTTAGGGCCCGTCAGATTTCCGCCCAGCAAATCAACAAGCTGGAAGAGCTTTGGAAGGAAAATGTCGATGCAACTTTCCAGGATCTGGAAAAGCCAGGCGTGGACGAGGAACCTCAACAGGTATTTCTTATGGCTTTTTTCATCAAAGGGTTTTCTTGAAAGTTGTGCCATTTCAAGGTTTTGCTCCGTTATGAGGATGGCTACCAGTATCAGAATATTTTCGGTCCCCTGGTAAAGTTGGAGGCTGATTATGATAAGAGGTTGAAAGAGTCTCAGACCCAGGAAAACATCGAAGTCAGATGGGATGTTGGGCTAAATAAAAAAACCATCGCATATTTCACTCTTGCCAAAACTGACGGCGACATGAAACTGATGCATGGGGATGAGTTACGACTAAGGTAAGTTGAACTCCTGAGCCGAGCAAACCACATCTGAAAATGCGATTTACTCGTGCTTGCGAAATGTTAGATAGAAAATATTCTCCTCTGTGGCCTGAAAAACTCGTCAGTTTAAAACGCTTATTCGTTTAGATACGTTGGCGAGGTGCATAAATCATGGGCCGGAGTAGGTCATGTGATTAAAGTGCCTGACAACTATGGAGAAGATATAGGAATCGAGCTGAAGAACGGCTCTGGAGCCCCCACTGAGTGCACAAGCAATTTTGTGGTAGACTTTATATGGAAGAGCACAAGCTTTGATCGGTAATTGCCATTAAAGCGAAATTTACAAACCATCAACAAGAATTTATTAACTATTTCAGAATGCAGTTGGCTCTTCGAAAATTTGCAGTGGACGACACGTCAGTGTCGGCCTACATCTATCACCGTTTGCTCGGTCATGAAGTCGAAGAAGTCTTGTTTCGCTGTCATTTGCCGAAGCATTTTTCTGCGCCTAATTTGCCCGATTTGAACCGGTCGCAAGTGTATGCAGTTAAACATGCCCTGCAAAGACCCTTGTCTCTCATTCAAGGTACCTTTAGCAACATGTTAATAAATCGGTTGCCTTTACCTATTTGCGTAATGTTTCAGGCCCACCAGGAACCGGCAAAACTGTGACATCGGCCACCATCGTGTACCAATTGGTGAAACAAAATGGGGGCCCTGTTTTGGTATGTGCCCCAAGCAACACCGCAGTGGATCAACTGACGGAGAAGATCCACAAAACCGACCTAAAGGTTGTAAGGTGCAGTACAGTTAAAATTTTATTGTGTACGTTTTGTACCTACGTAAAATGTTTCAATTGCAGGTTGTGCGCCAAGTCGCGGGAAGCTATCGATTCTCCAGTCAGTTTCTTGGCGCTCCACAATCAAATCAGAAAAATGGAAGGCAACACAGAACTGCAAAAATTGCAACAGCTTAAAGATGAAACCGGAGAATTATCCAGTATGGATGAGAAACGATACAGGTAAGCAACTCGCAATCGGTTTCCCAATTTAAATGTGTTATTCTTTCAAAGGATGTTGAAAAAACTGGCTGAAAAAGAATTGCTGGAAGCGGCTGATGTAATTTGTTGTACATGTGTTGGTGCTGGTGATCCCCGTTTGATCAGACTCAAGTTTCATTCAATTTTAATTGATGAAAGCATGCAGGTGCGTCTAAGCGCTTCAATATTTGTTTATTTTACTGGAATATTGTGCGATTATTCAGGCCACTGAACCTGAGTGTATGGTGCCAGTCGTTCTGGGAGTAAAACAGCTGATTTTGGTTGGAGATCATTGTCAATTAGGACCAGTGGTGATGTGCAAGAAAGCCGCAAGAGCTGGCTTATCACAGTCCCTATTCGAACGACTGGTGGTTCTGGGTATTAGGCCTTTTAGATTGGAGGTTCAGTATCGAATGCACCCAGAATTATCCCGGTTTCCATCCGATTTCTTCTATGAAGGAAGGTACGAGTATTGACTCGAATTGCAACTGGTGCGTATTTTATGTATGTTGTGGTTGTAGTTTGCAAAATGGTGTTAGCGCTGAAGAACGGAAGCTGTTGAAAATTGACTTTCCGTGGCCCATTCAAGATAGGCCGATGTTCTTCCTTGTGACGCAAGGCCAGGAAGAGATTGCCGGTAGTGGAACCAGTTATCTGAACAGAACTGAAGCTTCCAATGTAGAAAAAATCGCTACCAGGTAGTATTCACTGTCTTAAATTTGGAGCAGAACTTTGAGGTGGATTTCTAGGTTTTTGCGAGCCGGCATCAAACCCGAACAGATCGGAGTCATTACACCATATGAGGGACAACGGGCTTATCTGGTACAGTACATGCTCTATCAAGGATCACTCCATAGCAAGCTCTATCAGGAGATTGAGATTGCGAGTGTAGACGCCTTTCAGGGAAGAGAGAAAGACATTATAATCATGTCCTGTGTCCGGTTAGTGCCAAAGCAGCCTTTTTAATATCGATGATGCTCATTAAAGGTCTTCCAGGAGTAACGAGCATCAAGGAATCGGGTTCCTGAATGATCCCAGGCGTTTAAATGTTGCCTTAACCAGAGCTAAATATGGCATTATCATTGTAGGAAATCCGAAAGTTCTTTCAAAGCAACCCTTATGGAACCATCTATTGTCTTTTTACAAGGAACAAAAGGTAAAGCTTTATCGCATTAGATTTGTTGGCGTTAATTTTTGCTAATAAATCATCTTCAAACTAGGTTTTGGTGGAAGGCCCATTGACAAATATGAAGGAGTCTCTGATACAATTCGCCAAGCCGAAAAAACTGACCAACTCGGACAATCCCGGGAGTCACTTTATGTCTACGTCAATGTTCGATGCCCGGGAAGCGATGGTTCCCGGTTCTGTATATGATAGGTAAAGTTTGCTTTAAAACTGTGGTTCATTGTATGTGATTTTAATCAGTTTCATTTTGCAGAACGAATTCTAATATGAATGGAAACGGGCCTTTCGGTAATTTGGGTACTGGTTTTCAACCAAACCGCCCAATGCAGATGGACATGTTTGGTCGGACTCATGACCCCATTGGCTACATTGCTCCCGACAGGTATTATCAGTTGTTATCATTATTAATTATTCTAAATCAAATTAATTCCTGGGTTTCAGTCATTTATTGTCTCTATTTATCAATCAAAATACGTTTCGGTGTATTTTTCACGCACATTTGGCACGCAAAAGGGCATGCCAAGGCTTAAAGCAGCAACAACGCTACACATAAAAACTGATGATGGTGGAAAAATACACCGAAACGTATTTTGATTGATAAATAGAGACAATAAATGACTGACACCCAGGAATCAATTTGATTTGGAATTGAAACACAGTCAGGAAAGTATATACAATTAATTATTCGGCCGATCAAATTACTTAAATGGCGTTTTCTTTATAGGGCTCAAACGGGTCTGACTTTGCCGGTGCCATTGGGCATGTTCATGAATATGGCACACGTTCCGCCCAGATTCTACAATCAGCACCAACAGGCGATGCAAGCCCGGGAACAACAGCAAAATCCCAGAGGGCAAAATAGACGACCGCCTCAAAGGCAGAAAAGTAATGAGTGTTATGTCAAAGTTGCGATTTCTTGCTCACTGATTGATTTTGTTTAGGTAAGAACCTAAGTCAGGACCAGACGCAGCCGTTCAGCCAAAGTCTTCAGTTTACTCAAGGCGGCATGTCCCAACCAGGACTATCCCAACCTGGCTTCAGCCTTTCCCAACCGGGCTTGAGTCAAGCCGAACTCAGCCAGGATCTGTATATGGCCGAATATCAAAGCCAAATGGACGGACTGCTGTCGCAAGACTCGACTTATCAGGGTGATAGGTAAGTTTAATTTTTATTTCGGTGTTTTATAGATGCGATTTTATGAAAAATGTATTGCTTTAGGTCCGCATTTTACCAACCGAGCGCTCAGTTTTCGCAGCCGTACTGATACAACAGGTCCTAAGAATACCAAGGATACGCGGAAGCGACATGTTGAACAGAAAAGCAAATCAAAAATTAGACAGTGAGAAATCGAATCGTAAATTGACAGCAAAACATCAGAAATATTACGAGAAATCAATGCGTAAAAGGATGAAACATCTAAACAAAAAAACAACTAATCAAGGAGAAGAAAGGAAACAATTCAGTAGACAAATATCGACGACGAAGTGAAATGAAAAAATTGTTTTCTTAAAATCCGTAAAAGTGGCAATACGAAATAGTTTACGCAAAACTAAAAGGTGTATTGATTTACTTTAAGTCAATTCACTCGAACCATACATTGAAACGGGTTTATAAACGTTTTTGTGTACGGCGTTTAGGCGTTTAGTTAATATGCTTTTTCCTTCTTACTTAGTTATTATTAATTCGGTTTGAGTAAGGGACATTTATTTTGTATCCTATTCATCGGGAAAATGGATTCCAATGATCAATTGGAGGAATACGAAATGAGTGTAACTGTAAATATTTAAGTGAGACAGCTGGTATTGGATAAATTTATTGTGGAATCAATCATTTGATCATTATAGGTCAGAATTAATTGAGAGTGAATATTTAGTTTTCGTGCCGAATGGCCTTTGTGCCAGTTACTTGTTTCTTTTTATCTACATCCCTTTCATGGCAAATTGCGTTTCAGCATTACCAGATTTGTCTCTAGGTTCAGGCTTATATAGTTTAAAATTACTGCTTTTCATTTATCGTCTAACGCTAGAAAGTAACTAAAGCCACTTGTAGGTCAGAGCTCTAGAACAAGTACATTTTCAATAATTTGATATAAATAATACTGGAAAATTATTTCTTAAATTATCAACTGCATGTAATTGATGACAAAAAGTGTTTAATTTTTAGATACTCTGCTGGCTTTTTTGTAATGTTGCGCTGTTTTTTGGGTATTCCAGTTTTATTTAGCTCTACCCAAGTGGTTTGCTCATAAGCAAACTATTCATGAGACTAATAAATGCAAGCAAAATAAACAGTCCGTTTGCAAATTATTTTAACCCTTTTCTGTTTTTGGAATGAGAATTGTTCCACATGGTTCCATTAGCCCACTATCGAAGCTTACGAGGAGTTTGTAAGTGGTTTTGCTATTTTTTCGCGCAATGTGAAGTGCTATATTTTGTTCCACTTCATTCTGGAACTATTTAAGGATGTATATTTTTTTGCAAATACGTCCGCTTGATTCTACTTGAAACGTGTAAATCAACTCAGGGATATGTAGAAAAAATACAGTCTTCTGTTGTCTATGAAATTAGAAAAATTATCGTCGTTTTGTGCAAGGGTGGCGTAAGATTATTGCAAAGTTTCAGGTTTTCTGTCCCGTTTAGCATGTTTCTCGGAAGCAAAATGAGCAAGAACGCTCGTTTTTACATCATTCCAGATATAACTAAATGGCCTTTACTCGAAGTTTCTCAAGAACCATTCGAGCCACAGAATTCGAGTAGTTTTGACCCAGAAAGTGAAAGTTGGATATCAGACACTTAGGTGCAAGATTATGCCAACATTTCATGTTTTCCGTCCCGTTTTTGCTCATTTCTCAGAGGCAAAATGAGCAAGAACGCTCATTTGTACGTCATTCTAGAAAGAAATAAATGGCCTTTTTAGCAAGTGAACCATCGATAAGGAAATGTTGGCAGTTTTCTCAAAAAATGCTTGAATTCAAGAAGTTTTAGATTTGCGTGGTTTTTTTTGAGTTGCAAAATCCACTTGAACATGACGCTGCTTTTTTCGAAGTTTCTCAAGAACCATGCGAGCCACAGAATTCGTTTTGGCATCGTTGGATAGATAATTGAATCCCCCCCGGGATCCGCCCTTGAATCAACTACTAAATACTGAATATTTACATACTTTTTTAAAGCCAAAAATTTTTGATTTGATTTGATTTGATCATTATTTAATATCGTACAGATCCTTTCCCGGACAAAATATGGGAACAACTTTCCAACATGTTACTTTTGGGTCTTGAACTATTTCCCCATTCGTTGAATGGACCATTCTTGCTGACATAGAGGACATCGGTTGTTCTGTTTCACCCACAAAGACATACAACAGTAATGAAATGAGTGATTACATTCACCCCACACCACTACACAGTCCTGCTTTCCATACGAATCCTTTTTGCTCTCGGCCTGGCATCTCAAGCAAGCATCCATAACTTGCACTCTACAACATATCAAATAAATTTAATGATCATAACAAAGTAACATTGATAAATAAGGAATTTACCTGCAAATAGCACAAGTGTCACACTCTACGTCCCAACTCCACATTGCAACGGCGTTCCATTTTTTTAACGTAAACATTTTGTCTGGCCTTTGGTTCTCGTCTATTCGCTCGTTATCGTTTTCATCAGCCATTCCCAATGTTTCTTTTTAGATCTTTTTTGCGAATTGTTGATGTTTAACTTCACAACTTTTAGGTTAATTAGGACATGTGTCAAAACAAACGCTGTTGCCGGGTTTCAATAAAATGCAGTTTTTGAATTTTGATAACTGCCTATTTTATATAAATTAATTTTTACAATACAATGTTTTCAATTACAACATAATTATTAAACATCATAATACAATCCTAAACAATTTAATGGTGCTGGAATTACATAAAATATTAAATTTGGTACATTTAACTCCCTGTTAGGCAACTGATCAGACTTCCAGAAAAGCGCCCTCTTTTTTAAGATTTGATTTATTTTAAAAGTCAAAACTTGTCTTCACAAAATATCCCCCTAGGGGGTATGTTCTGTGCTTGTCTTTATCTATGAGTCAAAAATGGCAGCCTGAAATGTAAAGGTGCTAAAAACTGTTGTGTTTTTTTATCAAATCGGTTAGTAAAACCCACTGTAAGCATGGGAAAAGGTAAGCAGACCAACCATATTTATTCGCTGATTCAGTGTGGGTAAGTTCTGGTGTACATTAGATATAGTGTTGTTTACATCTGCTTATGGAACTTGTTTTAAATCTGTTCTTAAAAACTTTGATTAATTTCAATTTTTCTTCACCCTAACTGAGGGATGAATTATCAGCTCAAAGTGTTTGCAAGATTTTATTGATAATAAATGTGAATTCCTAGTGAACTAGTTGTATAAGCAAGAAACGAGTCATAATGTGCGAACACATCGCACTATCTAATGTTTAAATATTAGAGAATATGAGTGGATAAACTAAATAAATTAAATGAATAAATGCAACAATTAATAGTAGGAAGGATCACAAACTGGCTCGGAGTCAAATTTAACTGTCTACCCAAAACAATGCTCTTCATGCAGTTGCTACTTTTTGTTAAACAAAAACAGAAAATATGTTTTTGACTGAAGAAAAACTGCACACAAATGCAAACATTAGCAAAACTCACTATTGCCGATTTGCTTTCATCAACTATAAAACAGCACAAGTGCTGCGTTCCAGAATTAAAGTATTCTCCTAACTAGCTCCACTAATGTACGCCAGACTTTTTCCGCAACCTTATAAAAACCCTGTTTAAACCGGTGAGTTCTCTTTTCCAATTCCACACTGCTTTTCCAGAGCCTCTCTAGTTACTCCAAAATCTGCAATAAACCAGCAAACGCCCAAGGAAAATTGTCAAGAATCATAGCCACTATCCCAATAATTAGTAGAATTAAGTAATTTCCTACAAAATGTTTAACTTTTTGGATAGTAAATTGTTGCCAAAGATTCTTCTTAAGCCATTGGCAACTGATAGTTATGAAGCGGACAATTTAATAAGCACTGATTTTTCGAGTAAAGCTCGAGGTTTTATAGCGTATCCTTCAATCAAACCGCCTGTGGAATTGGAATTTGAATTTTTATGTGAAGTAAATATTGCGTATATTGTTCTAAACACTTCGGTGGGCAACCACAGATGTTCAGGCATTGAACTCTTTGCCAAGAATTCGACTGGCGAGTATTGTTCAATCGCTAGGGCTGTTTATGAGGCTCCTATTGTGATTTTTTGCAACAAGAGGGACTATTCGATGTCAAACCCTCCTCCTTGTCGTTTTTCCAAAAGTACCACAGAGCTGAATTTTCTGAAAGGTTGCGCCTTTAAGTTTTTCCTGAACGCTGCAGGCCTGAAAATTGTCATATTTAGGACCCAAAGGTCAGTACCCTGCTTAGCGTCGGTGGAAGTTTGGGGAAAACCAGCAAGATCTTGCTCTCAAAAGACTGTTGATACTGTACAACGACTTGTTATTGAAAAAATCTCCGCTGTAGAGCCTGTAGAAGCTGAAACGGTGCAATTTAAAATCCCTGGTGAATTTAAAGACGATCTAACGTATCAGCTAATGACTATTCCTTATACGTTACCCAGTGGAAAAACCGTGGATTATACCACTCTAGAGAAACACGTGGAAAGTGAAAAATCGTTCGGGAGGAAACCAGGCGATCCTTTCACAGGAATTAAATTCACGGAGACTTTGAAACCTGTGTTAAACGTGGCCTTAAAGAGTAGAATTGATATGTTCTTGTTGAGAAATAGTCACGCGACTGAGACTTTTAATTTAAAAAGAACCTTAGGACTAGGCAATGCACCTAAAAGGCTTAAAGGCCCCATAAGTAGCGACGAGCGAGAGTTAAACGGTGCTAGCACTGAGGTGGATATTTTAATACAAAAAGCCAAAACTGATCCGAATTTTACATCGTTTTCTAGTTCGAATGAATGTACTGAAAAACACTGCGCGTTTTGTAAGAAAACATTTCAGTCTTTGTATGAACTTCCGTGCAAGCATTTCTACTGCAGGAAGTGTTTATTGTCAATTTGCGCCGACTGTGTGTGTATGGAATGTAAAATAGTGTTTACCAAAAGGGATGTTAATAAAATTGATTTGTAATTAACAAATTGGTTTTATTTCACGTGAAAAACCGCTAATCGAAAAAAATACAATATATTCATTTCATATCAGTACTATATACAAAAGTTAGATATTTAACAATTTTACTACAAACAGGGAAATAAATACGTACAAATCCATCTTTTGCGGGTTATGTACAAGCAATTAAATGGCTTCGTGCCCCAACATTTAGACAATGTTAACTGTTTAGCAAATCTTTAAAATTCAATTGCACAAAAAAGCAATATCCACTAAGATTAAGACATTAGAACTGGATTGATAAAACCCGACAAACATTTCCAGAGGAAGAACAAGTAAATGTTACTCATCACACTAATAAAACGTGCGTTGTCAATGCTATTAACTAAATATTGTATTTTTACATCAGTCTTTTTGTATGTTTAAGCTAAAATTAAAACTATTTTCTTTTTTATATTTCGCCTTAACGGTTCGTGTAGTAATCAAGTGAGTGTTCGGGTTTCGTCACCTTAGATAAGCTTTATCTAATAAATATGGGTTTTCAATTCTTTACAAAATCATAGTAATTGGATGGTTGTGGAAAAATTTAAAGTTTTGCAACCACTATTAATCAGTTAATTCCTTACTCAAATCCATTTGTTTAAGCTTCAATCATACTAGTGCCGCTGCTGCCTGATTCTGTTGTAAATGCTCGATTTCGCTACTTATATGCCGGTATTTTTTTATCCGTTTCCATTCGCCGTTATTGTAGTTCATTTGGAAGTGGGTTTCGACTAGCATGTTGACGCAGGTATCGTCCGCTTGCATCACAGTCTCCTGGTCTTCAGACAGCTTTATCGTCACGATATTGCCGAGATGCGGGCACGGATTATCTCTCGAACCAGCCATGAAACCAAGGATCAGCGCCTTCTCTGGTCGAGTAACTTTATTCGCTGTCCTGAACATGTCCTGTGCTTCAAGCATTTGCTCTCGCTGAAAAATTGAAATGTTTGCGCTGGCAATTTTCTTTCAACAACAGAAACAATTCTCACCGTAAGAGCAAGTCCTCGTCTTTGCAGATTGTTTGCAGGCTGCGACTGTATCCTTATATGAGTCACTGTCTGTTGCGGCTGAGAAGGCCTCTGAGTTACAACCATCGGAGTTCCAGTAATGATTTGTTGAGTCTGGATTCCTGTGGCTTGATCTGAAAGAAAATTGCATATTTTTCTTCATTGCTTGCTTCTGAGTGCTAAATATGCGCCTTACCTGTGGTAATGATGGTTCGTTGTCCGTTTGGAGTTGTGGCCAGTAAGGGAGGAACCGGTCGCAGATTCTGGGCAGTAATGAACTGAGGAGTGACCATTTGCGGCGAAACCACTTGCTGTTGCTGAAAACGATCAAAATGTTTACTTCGGATGTGTTTTTCTATGAGCGAATCTTACCGGTTGTTGTTGCTGCACTTGAATGTGTTGAATCTGAGCGGGCTGTTGTTTGGCCAACTGAGGCGTGGCTGCTGGTAGCTGAGCTGTTTGGACTGCCGGTGTGGCCAAAAGAATGGCAGTTGTTTTAGGGGCAGCTGCAACTGGTGCGGACGGTGTGGCTGGGGCTGTAGACGTAAGACTCGCAGCTGAAGAATTTTAAATTGTTAAAATGGTTTAAATAACCGCGAACTCGCTCGCTTACAGGTCGTGGTAACGGCGGGTTGAGGAGTAGCAGGAGCGTAAGCGGGGGTGGCACTCCCCAATCCAGCAGCGTAATCCGGTGTACTCGAAGGCTCTTTCTTTGCGGGCGTCGGGCTTTGCAAGGCCTGGTTTTCCTGCTGCGCTTTCTTTGCTTGGTTTTCTTCCATTTCTGCTTGTTTGAAGACGCTTGATGCAAACCACTAACACTGCAAGTTGATCAACTCACCCTGCTGCTTCTTTCGCTTCTTCAAAGCGGCGTAGCCCAAGGGCTGATCGGCAATGTCCAGCAATTTTACGCCACCCTCTTTCCGCCCAGCTGGCGGTCGTGTTAGTGGCGGCCTATTCGCCATGTTGCTGGTCAGAGTGTTCGAGCGGAATCCTGGAGTTGGGACACGACTTGGGATGCCTTTCAAAGGCGCTACAAAACAACCAGCCGTGATTTAGTGAATTAACCGCGACAACAAAACGCACTTGTGTCGGTCATTTTTCTAGGCATTCCGCGGGACCTCACTGGAATAACGGGGGCGCTGGATTTTTTCAAATTGGAAGCTGCATCCGAGGATTTTTGCAATAAATCGGCCCTTAACAGGGCCGATTTCGGTTTCTTCTTGATTGTGAAGTGCTTGATTGGCTCGGGTTTGTGACCCACCTGTAGTCACGGGTGAACATTGCGTCAGGGTTGGTTCAGATTTTAAAAATCAAGCTGATTCGCGTTAATCCCAGTCACTTACCACTGAGATCAGGGCATTTTTATTCAGATAGTGGCACTCCATGGGTAGGATTGTGTGCTCGTTTTGTTTCTTCACGTGCTTCTTTAAGTCGGAAATGAGATCGCTGAAGATTTGCCGCACTTCTTCCACATCGACTATTTCCGTATTTAAAGAGCCGCTTGATGGGTAGGTTTTCAAAGTATCCGCAATCATTGCCACCCATAGTTCTGAGTCCTGCAATGCTACGTCGAGGATTTGCTCCAACTCGGATTTCCACTGAAAATTGTGTGATTTTTGTTGGAAATTGCACTGCACTAATTTTGCGAATGTTTTTTGCTAAGCATGGACGAATGGAACAGACAAATGCCCCGTGCAAATGACAATGAAAGCTAAATGAAAAGGGAACATTTATGATTGTGAAGCCCACATTGCATGAAATGCTGGCGTTGTTTTATCTCCATCGGCGAGCTCCTAAAATATCAAAATCTGAATGCTCTTTGCTACTTCGCTTTGCATCGTCAAGCCTGGGCTGGGAGCCCAACTGTAGAACCGAACCATTTGTTATTTATAACAACAGCATTTCAAGAATGTATTCAGTACTGCCTTAATGCTATTAATAGTTGTGAACAGTGGAATATTCGAAGATTAGGCCTTCCTAGCGAGAATGTGCCGCACATCGGAATGCGGGAACTGTTCAAAAGGGGGCAAACTCCCGCAGTTTGCCTCCAAACGTGCTCAGCCAAAGCTCAATAACGGTTTGCACATGGCAACTTCAAACCAGACAAGCTGAGAACGGCTGGAGTTTGCATTAGTGGGAAACTTGAATCTTCGTTAACCAACGGATGACACAAAACGCTATGCCCCATTGTTTAATGAATTCTAAAAACATAAACAGACCTCCTCCAAGTTTCTGCGCGGGATGTGAAAGAAACTCAGCAACAATTTGAGTTTCACTTGCGTCTGCAGATCAGGAAAGCACTCCTTGATGTTACGCAAAACTTCCAGGTTCAGCTGCGAACAAATCGAGCCTCCGGTCCATGAATCGTTTGAAATTCCCAATTTATTGTGAAGCCACAGCGAAGTATCGCTATCACGCACGTTCGCCATCTTTACAAGCACTGGCAGTTTGACAGATTTGACGTGATTGCTTTTGTTTTGTTGTTCACGGGCTACCAACCAGGAGCAGCTAAATACAGGACAGTCCAACGTTGCCGTTTACCACGATTGGTCATTTCTAATCTGCCGCCACTTTTATTCGTTGGCAGGTTGGCAGGCCACGAATTATTTGTGGAATTGTCTCTCGAAGGATTGAAGGACCCCAAAATGTGACTTTAAACTAGAAATTTAGCGATTGTAAAGGAAATGTGGTAAAAAATTGCAAATATCGTGGTAAGCGGCAACGTTGGACTGTCCGTTGTTTAGCTGCTCCTTACCAATCCAAGAAATACCATTCCATTTCTACGCCTAATGAAGCTGGTGTTCAACAATTTCTCCTACTTTATAACGTTAATTTAGGTTTAAGTTGCTCAATTACTCAGTATTTTAATAGTTTTCCCTTATCTCTAGGGAATGTTCAGTCTTAAGTTTAGGCCCCTGGTGGTGAATCACTGGCAAGGTCACCAAAGTCAAACGCCAACAAAAGGGTGTGTGTCATCTTTAAATTTTGTCAATTCTTTTCCGCGTTTTAACCTGCCTAATTAATTTATTCAGCTTTCCTTCTAATAATGTAGCTTTAACTCACTTTAACCAGTTTTGTTCAAAAATTCCGCTTTCCTTCAGTTGAATTTTGTTGCCACTCAAGATGAGTCTCCGAGATCTGTTTAGAAGAAAAAAGACCAGAGAAGAACCCACCGCTGCTATTATCGGTAAAATGCACCCAATTTCGCTTTATTTCCCCCCCAGGAAGGTTGTCGTCATTTCCAGGTACCCCCACAAATGTGAATCATGACATCCATGTTAGTGTGACTGAAGATGGGAGTCTGGAAGGATTGCCAGTCTCCTGGATTCGTCAGATTGGCACCCAAATCACTAAAGCCGAACAGAATCAGAATCCAGAGGTTGTCAAGAAGGTTCTTCAGTTTTACAATTTTTCCGTGAAGAAACATGGGGTGCAAGGACAGGAAATTAAGCATATCTTCACGGAGAGGGACATTGCTGAGGAGTCAAAGGAAATGGACTTGTACATGAAGTCCAAAGATGCCCACAAGAGCAAAGAATCCAATATATCTTCAGATGGCTCACAGAATTCCCTCATACACTTGGAGAAGTACGCCAAAACTTCCAAAAGAATGTGTTCTCAGATGTGCGAACTAACATCTTTTCAGTTCTAGAACAACGTTACCTCCAGTAGTTGCAAATAATGATCAGAATAACCTGCTGCAAACCAGAAATCTAGCGCAGAGCCTGGAAAATCTGGCAGTTGATTCCGAAGAAATTGAATATCGAAAACCAAGTATTACAGAGGAGGACTGGTATAGAAGAAGGTCTGGAATAACCGATAGTGACTACATGCGGGAAATTCGAAAAATCTGCAACCCGGGCGATCCCTACGATTTCTATGAGAAAACCTTGAAAGATTTGGGTTAGTTACAAATCGCCACCTTTACCAACCTGATAGTTACCCAAAGTGGCTTGCAGGTTCTGGAGCTTCAGGAATGGTGTTCGCTGCCACTGATAAGAAAACAGGAGACTTAGTTGCCATAAAAGACATCGATATGACCAAGCAGGCCAAAAAAGACCTGCTCCTGAGTGAAATTAAAATCATGAAAGATTTTAAGCACAAAAATTTAGGTAGCATCTCATTAATAATCGATTGTGGATTCTTTTGCAATGCTGCTGTATTTTCCAGTCAATTTCTTAGACGCTTTTGTGGTTAATTATGATCACTTGTGGGTTGTGATGGAGCTACTAGATGGAGGCCCACTCACCGATGTTGTTACCGAAACTGTTATGAAGGAGGGACAGATTGCTGCTGTTTGTTTTGAGGTGAAAAAACATGCTCATGGATTTTATATTGTCATTTGCGTCTATAAAAATACAATACTGTCTTTTCCAGGTTTTACAAGCTATCAATTACCTTCACAACCAAGGGACAATACACAGGGATATTAAGTCGGACAATGTGCTTTTGGGCATGGATGGCACAGTGAAAGTTACGGATTTTGGGTTTTGTGCCAACGTTATCGGAAATGAGCAAAGGTAATGAGTAAATCGCATTTTTACGTAGCTTGAAAGATCGTTTTTTTGCCATGGCAGGGAGACAATGGTGGGCACTCCATACTGGATGGCTCCTGAGGTGGTGACAAGACAGAAATATGGTAGGAAAGTGGATATTTGGAGCCTGGGAATCATGATTGTCGAAATGTTAGATGGCGAACCGCCTTACTTGAGAGAGCCACCAATTAGGGCACTTTATTTAATTACAGGTAAGGGATTGAGGAAGATTATTTGCACGTTGTTTTCGTTGACTTCGGACTTAACTTTTTGCAGCAAATGGAAGACCAAAAATTGCTCGTTGGGATGTGTGTTCGCCTAAACTGCAAGATTTTATTGATCAATGTTTGCAAGTTGAAGTTGATAATCGAGCAACTGCTCATGAGCTACTACAACACGAGTTCCTTCAGGAGCGAATGGAACTGCGAAGTTTAACACCCCTGATACGAGCTGCTAAAAGGCTTTTACACAAAAATTGAAGTATCTATTCGTGATTTTACCTGCCTACAATTCGTTTTGTTGAATCAATCGCCTTCACTGTTGCCTCAAATCAATATTGTTACTGTTTTCTAGTGACAAAAAAATCCATATTTTATATTTCACTCTTCGAATTGTCACCATGGTTAAGTAATCGGATCGGCCGATTTCTTATTGGTTTATAATGAAGCAATATTAGGTTTAAGATAGAAAGACAATTAATGGGTCCAAAACTATTGCATTTAAATACTTAAGGCAAGACTGATGAAATTGAATGAAGTGAAAAACAATATTTTTTAAATAATTTTACAATATTTTTACCGCAATATATGTATATGTATATATCTATTTTTTATCGTTGACATATTCTATAAAAGTATGTCGGTTGAAAGTCCAAATACTACGCAATAATTCAGTGTTGTGTAAGATTTTTTTAGCGCCAATTGCGTCTCGATGGAGCTTGAAAGTGGATTTTCATTGGGTCGCTATTAGCGCATTTTTCAGATACTTTTTAATTCTGGTTTTGTGTGATTGCAATTGTTTTTATGATTAGCCATGGAATATAATTTAAACCAACCGAACACGAAAATGAGAGAGTTTTATTGTCGACTGTAATTTGCCCTTTCGTTGTCGGTTAAATGGAGGAAGGAAAATTTGCAGATTTTAAGTCGCCAATTATTCGAACGATGGTGGATTAGTAGGGAGTTGATTTGATTTCAGGACAAGTCATTCAAATAAAAATAGCACTTAAAAATTTATGTCATTTTTTGTAAAAAATTACAATACCTTATCGTTATAGAATTCTAGCAGTGCAAACATGTAAACATTTGCAAAAATGTGTACATAAAAATCATATGAAATCAAACAAAAAAATTAAAAGATTTCGTATCTAGGCCGATGCTAACAAAGCACTACAAGCGCGCCTTCGATGCAAAACTAAAACGTAAGAAACAGGTCATGGAATTTGTCGAGTAAATAAAATGGACGGAAAATATAACACGAACATAAAAAACTAGAACTTGTACTCATCGGTCCTTATAAGGAAGAGCATTAAATTAAACGGGGCGGGTGGTGCCTTAAATGAACCATTCCTTCTTTTTCTGCACATGATGGCCGGTGGTGCCATGAACCACTGCATCGTCGGGATCCAGGGCGGCATCAGCTCCGGCGTCTTCTTGCGTTAAGTATTCGCCTTTGTGCCGATGGAGATAACGGCCGATGATAATGCACAGAATGACTAGAGCTAAGAATATAATTGCAAGCACACCTGAAAGAAACGAGGATTTATGAGCTGGAAAGAACCATATGAACGAGTTAGTTACTTACTTCCCAAAATAGCCGAATCCGTTTGATTGTAGGCCCGCCTGATTTTATCCTCGTCAATCAACGGCGGAGGCCTGGTTTCGATTGTATCAGGCGGATGTGTAATCGGCTCCACTCCGCAAAAGTCTTCGTTCAAGGGTTCTGGAATTCATATATTGTAGATATTTGGCATGGAGATACCGAACAGTTGCCCACCTCCAAGCACTTTCACATTTCCAGGGCCCTTCTGCTGGAAGAGCAGCTTCAAGGGATAAATATCGTCAAATTCCACTCTGGATACGCATCCGATAAATCCTTCAGACATCGATTCGTTTTTGCCGATGTACATGTACTGGATGTTATTGAATTGGGCGTCTGCAGACTCCTTGATGTCGAAATTGAACTCTTTAGGCTCGTAGCTGTCGATTTTGATCACTAACGTGGACCCTCCGTTCTTCCGGGTCAATCTTGGAAAAAACCATCCGTTCCAGCAGTGAATTGGGGTGATTTTTAAGTGAAAAACTTACAAAAGATCATGATACTGGCCAAGCCCGAAATGCTTATCCGGGTAGATGACTTCTTGCCGCTCGAAGCCAAAGTCGAACACTATTCGCAAATGGCCGGAATTTGAGACCATGATCGTTAAGTATTCCTTGGTTATATTGGAGAAGAATCCCAACAGGAAGCCTTTGGGATTGGTGGTGGTGAATCCAACGCGAATGTGTTCTGAGATTGTTGAACGCCATGAGCCTTCGAAGATGTATTTCACTGCCGAATTGGCTTTCATGTGCACTCCGATTTCGTCGGCGCATATTGAGCCCTGCAGCCAAAACGCAGGGTATTTTACAACTGTAAATTGAAGATTATTGGGGACTTGCCTTAAAAGCAGTCCATCTGCAATCACACACGTATCCCTCGTACTTTTCTATGCAAGTGCCGTTATTCAGACACGGGCTGCTGTCGCATTTGCCTACACAACCTTCGGCGATTCCATACAGTCCTCGATGAGCGTACTCTCTCAAGTTCACGTGCTTTCCATTGATGAGAAGAGCTCGCATGCAACCAGTGAATCCATCCCTGATTTTCCCGAATCCCGTTTAGAGTCTTAGTGTGCGTTTTTTAACAGTGTTTACCTGTAATCGGTGGAGGCGCCGATTACCAAGTCGGATGTTAAGTGAATGGCCCGCACGGGGCCTGGCGGCTCCCGAACCTCGGCTTTCTGAGCTCCGTCCACTACAATCATCGCCTCCTTTCGGTTCCTCTCAACTGACACTGCACCCAAACCAAATATATAGCTGAGTAAATTGGCGCAGTAATTTGCTTACCCGCATGCCACTGATTATCCGACAATTTGTACGAAACTTCCGCTATGACGGCAATCGGCCCGGATCCCGCTTGGTACTGGAACTGGAGCTGATTTCCGTTAACAATCGTCAATTTAATGTAGTCAGTAGGGCCTTTGGCATGGAATAACACTGCGTTATCAGTTGCCGTTCTGCAATCAATCAAGGTACATTATTCTTTCTATGCCTTTAAAACATGTATGACTTATGTATAACAATATCACACTACAAGTCTTAAGTCAGTTGCAAACTGGAGAGCATCAACAGTTCTTCGCGGTGGTAAAAATAGCTTTTTGAGAACGAATGTTTTACAAAATCCTCTTGTAATGTGATTACCTGAATTCGAAGTATATATCGCCGTTGTGTCCCATATCGAAGTTGGGAATATCGATGGTGGCATCCGAAATTCTGAATGTGACCACATTGTCGAACAGATCGTCACCGCGGCATATCAACGAGCCGAGAGTATATCGAGCCTCCTTTTCGTCTAAAGCACTGCCAGTGTCACCAAAACGCAATTGCTTCACTGGCAGATCATCTTTTTCGCTCAGTTCGCCTGCAAAAAGCCCAATCTTCAAATTGAAAGCGCCGAAAAGGTTCAGTAGACTGGCTCTTACCAGCGTCTACCAACCAAATCATCGCATCCCCATCGCAATTGCACCATTTGGTGGGATCGTTGCAGGTCCCCAAGACGCCACATTCACATTTCCTGGACCCGGGCAGCCCCCCGCCCCAATAGTCCATCTTTTGGTTTTTCCTGGAAACCCACCAGGAAAACGGTTGGAACTGCTGCTCCTCCGACGGCGAACTAAACAGTCGGGCCTCCTTGCAGGCGTACTGGATGTGCTGAGTGCAAGTAGACGACCTGACAAAGGCGAGCAATTACCACAAAACACAGCTTCAAGCAGTGCAACAAACTCGAAAATTCTTTCGAAATACTCACCTATTGATCAAAGCGACGATTTGGTCATCATCAGCCTCATACTGAATATCCTGGATGAAACTGCCGGGTTCCTGGAATCCATCCACCGGAGTGGTGGCTTCGTTGCTGTGATGCAGCACGGTCGACACGGTACCATCAGCGCCAAATTGGCAGGTGACCGGGAATGGTGCTAATGGGCCGCTTCCATCCACATCGATCTGCACATGCAAATACTCCAGCCCCTTGAAGAGCAAATATCAACTCGCCTACGCACCCTTATTTCCGCCTTTGGTCCAACGGCCTGGATATTTTTATAAGCCTGGCAGGACAGGGGGTTGATGGAGCTGTGACAAACGGCCCCGCCATACCCCGTGCCTTTACAGTCGCAGAAAAATTCGGCTGCGTTCTGCTTGCAAATGCCCCCATGTTGGCACGGATTAGGATAACACCTGCAATGCCATTTTTCATATATTCTCATTGGTCTGATAGAGAATTAAACAAGTCAATTACCGATCAATCATCCTGCAAGCGTCGAAAATTATACTGTCGCCGTGGAAATATTCCTCGTTCTTCTTCCAGTCTGTGGGCATCTTGCTGTTGCCATCAATGCGGATCGTTTTCATGCAGCCGATAAAGCCTGCAAAACACAGTAGAGCCAAAAGGTTCAGTTAAAGAAAACCAGCCCACCTGGGAAAACCTCATTAGAATAGCTGAGCGTGGGAGTCTCGCCTCCGGCGAACAGATAAATGCCTCCGGTGCGAATTTTCAGCAATCGCGTGGTCTTCATTGGCCGATAATCCACACTAAAAGTAACGTCGTTCGTCCTGATGGACAGCACCACAACATGCCAGCGTCCATCGTTAAAAGTCTCTTCGTAATTGTCGAATATCACTCGAGGATTATCCGGAGTCACCAGTTCCACCTTCAACTTGCCTTGTTCCAAGTAAATCTATCGGTTGAATGGACAAAACCGTGATCTTTAGCTTGCGGGCCATTTTGCTGCATGCTTACCGCCACAAAACTCGACGATGAAAAGGCATGGAACATCATCAGGCCCTTGCTCTCGTATGTTCTGAAGTGAAACGACACATTCATAGAGGACATTCCCTCATATCCGCGCAGTTTGGCATAGGCTTTCGCATGGGTGAAAGTCACAGGCACTATAGGTGGTTCCTAGAATCAATACCAATAATAATACACATTGCCTTTGATGCTGTAGACCCGCGAAACGCGAAACTTACTGGGCAGTTGTACAAAACGTTGGTTTTCTCGTATTTATAAGCCTCCCCATATTCAAAGGCGTCTTTGACCGCTTGGATTACATTGGTTGAGTTCAAGTAGAGATTCTCTATGCAGCCGCTGTAGTTCTGAACCACTACAAGACCTTGCTGTATGTTGGGGACGCCGCCGATGTAAAAATCTCTGTTCAAGTTAAGCCTATTGAAGTCGCCCTTTATACGCTCCTGGACAACCACGCGATCAACGGAAAACAGAATATCCCGCCTATTCCTGGAAATCACCACATCGTGCCAAATGTTGTCGTCCAGAAGACTGCCCACACTAAGACTGGTAACCATGTTGGAACCTGAAACAGCGGCTCAGGGTTAAACGGGATTTCCCAAATTATCTCCTGCTGCTAACCCAAGTCTATGTTCAGCAGCATTCTGTTTTCCCGTAACTGCAAGGCGATGTAATCGCCCTGAGTGCCTCGACTGTAAAGCAGCACCCCATTGGCCGCAGCAGTTTTGAACCGGAACTTGATAGTCTCTCTCAGAGCAGCTATCGGGTCTCTCAGAAGATCCAACTTTAGAAGCGACGTACCATTGAAGTACATATTTTGGGCCACTGAAAGTTTTTCCGTTTAGCTGGCGGGGGTTCGTGGGAAAATGAACTTTACCTACCATATTCACAGCCAAACAGTTCCACTCGCATGGAAATTCGGTCTCGCCATCTGGTTGGGTTCACCCGGATCCATTGTGCGATTATAGGCACTTCAAACTCGTTTTTCTGAATAGAATCCCCATCGATATTACCTCTAAACATCTAAGGAAGAAACTCTGATCAGTTAACGATTGTGCAATGGAAAACTGTGTTTACGCTGTTTGTAGTTCTGCGGAAAATCCGTTTAGACACTAGGTCTTATCAAGTAAAAGTAGTACGTTTCGGGTGGCGACCATCCTCGATAGAAATTTGGTGTGGTAAACCAGCCGTTAAAAAAACCTTGTGTCTGAACGGTGTAAAAACAAACCTTGAATAAAACTTAGTGCAGAGCCAAATGGAGCGTATGAATGGTGCAAGTTAAACGATTCTTACAAGCACTAGAGAAAGTAAATTTAATGATGAGAGGAAATGAGAAAAAGGTTGATTGTGGGCGATTTTTAACATTTCTCGCCTTTAGTGGGCGCCAAACTAGATATACGTATGGTATAAACATGCAAAATTGATCTATAGGAGTGATCCAAAACTGGTGCCAGTAAAACAGAGCATTAATCTCATATTAAACTGAGACATTTGCAGGACACTAAGCTACAAATTAGACAAAACTTGTGTTGAATCACCCTGTACACATTCACTCCGAGTTGGGTAAATACGGAGTGACTTATAAAGTACCCAACACAGTGCAAGCAGCAACGGCAACATTCCAAAGAGGAATTAAGTTAAAGCTGTTGACGTTAATGCGAAAATATTTAGAAGATTGTTGATATAAAACGTATTTAAAAAAATGCCTGGTGTTATAAATCACTCCCATTAGCTGGGGCCGTTGGCCGCTGTCCTGCAAAGCGCAACAAGCAAAGAAAAACTATTATATCAACCTCTATTTGGCCATTGGCGTCGTGGAACGCCCTCCATCCGTCGTTGCCATTATCTGAGTACTCCACAATGTACTCAGTGACGTACTCGTTAGTGAGGGCACGTCCCTGAGTCGCGATCGACCTCACTTCGTACCGGCCGCCCAGGCTGATAATCAGCTTTTCGAAATAGGTGCTTTCTTTGGGCGTCCATCCCGATCCACCTGTTTTCAAAGGGTTAGAAGAAGCATGATGAAAATGTTAGTTGGCCAAAAGAATGCAAAAACTACAGCTGATATTAATTAAGAGTTATATAATATCCATACACCTTACCAACGGTTATTTACCACTCGCTAAATCTACCAACTGGGATGCAAAGCCAAAAGAAAAATCACTATCTAAGGTTTGTTTTCATTGGCGAAAAATTGCAGAATGCCCTGAAAAGAACTGCTCTAATTACTGAACTGTATACCTACCCGGATATCCCCTTCAGAGTCTTTGTAATAGGCATAATCCAGGCCGTTTGTGCCATACGTGATTTGGTATTCCATAACAAACTCGTTGCTGAAGGGTCTACCGCGAGTCCATATGCGAGTTACATTCATTATTTGGCCTAGGTCGATTATGAGATATTGTGCAAAATCATTATCGTTAGCGCTCCAAGCATTGCTACCTTTTTGTGGAAAGGAAACACACATTTACAACCAAAAATATAATGCGGCAACTATAGTATAGGACTTAAAAACCAACTATTTAAACCAAATTTGAAGAGAATTTTCTCCGACGCCTTTTGGGTTTACACGAACAAATTGTTTTCTCCAAAATTCAATATAACTTAAAACCCTTGTTGGTAAGATTAAATGAAACAGATCAATCTGTGCACATAAACTGGCCAATAAACCATAAGTTTTCAAGGCTCTATTCACATTTCCCAAAGTATTTCTAGGGTATAAACTGGAGAAAGTTTGATCAGGATTTTTGCCAAACTTCCGCACACTTTAAATCATTATTGATACACGCCCGTAAAATGTATTCGAATCAATTAAACAGAAATCCTAAGAAAACGAAAACTTATTCCACGCAAATCGGCCATAAAAATGCGAAATCATGCAAAAATACGTCTGCATAACTAAAAACACTGAACATGCAATCTAGATTTACTGTGCCACTCTGAAACAGGTACCTACCGAACAAACGGGATAATCAATAGATATTAACTACCCGGCTATTTCCCTATGCCAATATACATTCTAGTTTAATGAAGCAGTAAAAATCCTAACAGGGCTTTTCAGCCTTCTTGAAATAATCCAAACAGTAACTCTCGTCTGGAGGCTGAAAAGCTTCAGCATTCCGAACTAGCTCACTAAAGTCCAGTTCTTTAAATTGCACCTCATCCACCGGCCTATCGGTTGCCACTGCCACGCAATGAAAGTCATCCAGTAGGACTTCATGAAACGCCCACCCAGTCAATTCCTCACCATCCACGAAGAGTTTACTGTCGCAAGTGAACCGCTCTTTGGTCAAAGGGGATGAAATTTTGAAGCTGATCTCGCTCAGCTTCATGGTGATTCCCAGGCCAATGGCTTTAGTGTAGCTTTCCTTCAACGCCCACAGTCTACAGAACATGTTCAGCTGCTCCGCTGGGGATTTTGGCGCATAAATCTGCCTCCACTCCAGAGTGGAGAAGTTCCGGTTCATTATCCTGAAGAACTCACTAAGCGGCTTGCCGCCAGTATACTCCAGCTTCATCACGTCCACTCCTAGTAACGCATCACCCAATTCACCTGCAAGAACCGTATAGTCCCCGTGGTGGGACACATTGAAGGAGACTTTTTCCGGCGTCTCCAACCCTGGGCGACCCTTTTCCTGCCTGCTGAACCTCAATGCCGCATAATTCAGACCGCAGCTCTCAGACACAAATTTACGCATCATCAATCTGCCGATCAACGATGATTTGAAGTCCTTCTTGAACACAAACTTGCCCAATCGCAGCTTTTCTTCCGGCTGAATGCAAGCCGTGGCAAGCAACAGCTCTTGATAGGTCGGAGACCATTTCGACAAATTGAAATACCACCGGACGCTAGACGGGGCCATTAATTTTGTTTTTAATTTCGGATAGTTTGAGTTGATCTGCTTTGGGGACCACCAGTCCAATCAGTCAGAACCTGGCAAATAAAAGCTCGGATCAGAAAATCGATTGCTTGCAACCCAATCTACCTTATACTAGATGGTCCCAAATGCAGAAAAATTCAAGTAACTTCTATTCGGTGTATACCTAAGATTTATTTGGTAATTCCGTATTCAGTATTCAGATGCTTGAGGGAATGATGAGGCATTCATACTGCATTAAACTAGAATGTATATTTGCTGCGCGTTCCTATTCTAGCTAGAAATCTTAGGCAGACTTACCATATAATAAGGCGTTCTTCGGGCCCCTATCGCTCATAGAAGATGTAGCATCTAGGGCTGACTTTTCCACCAAGGGAATGTTGCATTCATATTCGCTATAGTAAGACCCTAGAAGTAATTCAAATGGCATTAGCTCTGATGACTCATGATTCTTCTGTATGTAACATTTATTAGATGCGGCTTGTTGCGATCAACTAGCAATCAATTGGGGGGCGAATGTCGGCGGAAGTTGATACAAATCCAACAAATTGGGAGTGAATATACAAAGTTTAAAGGCAAATTTTGCGCTATAACCCTACTTGATCTAGGAACTTAAGGATCAGGTTCTACCCACAGAATGCTCACCTGCAGCGTATATATTTGAATGTACAAATAATAATAAACAAATATATAAAAACATTGCTAGGACATGACACTTCGAAATCCAAAAGAACTTTCAACTCAACACCAACAGAAAAACAGAATGGCATCTATCAACAACCTGTCAGTTTGCTTATCATTTGGAAACGCCTTTTCCATCGACATGTTTCAAAAAATTATTAGAAAATCAAATTTATTTAACAGCAAATATATTTTAAATTATTAAATAATCCAGATTAACCCTTTGATGAGCGAAAACTAATACTTTCAAGCTGGCAAAGTAAATTAAAAAATCAAAAAAAGTTCCACTGCATCTGTCTGTTTCACTTGCACTCATAAAGAAATGTCTTGTTGGTTTGGAAAGAAACCATCGACCAATCTAAGGTTAAACTGCATTGTGAGTCGTACGTCTCTGATTGGGTGGATTACCGTCACCTGCGCCAATGGGCAGGAATGTCGCCTTGTCACCTAGATCTAAGAGCGGCCAACATTGCAAAAATAAAAGTTGTTTATTTGAAAAATTAAAATTCAAGCTTTAAAACCGAAAAATTCCGCAGTTTTGCTTGCTTTAATACTGTAAATACTCGATGGAAAAACATGGGATCAGTTGGGATCTCCTACAAGCTGCAAAACTGAAAAATATATTGTAGTTATTTTGTGGCGGTTGGTATAATGTGGAATTTGACACTGTGTAAAATGGCTGATATCTAAATATTGAGAAGTTTTCTTTGTTTTCAGTTTAATTTTCCTTTAGTTAGTGTTTATAAAGTGACATGTGTTGTTTTATTAGATAGAACATATTAAAGTGAATCGGTTCGTAGTGATAATAGTGCCTTAATGAGTTGATTCCCTGTGATACAGTGGGACATTTTTAAAGGTTTGACACAAAAATCTGTCAATCTCCAACTATAGCAGATTCTAATTTATTTTCGCATTTCCAGAGGTAATTAACATTGCCAGATTGTGAATGTATATATAGGAATGATCGTACAAATTATCACATTTTCTGTGGTGCACTAAGGCCCCGCAAATTGGCGACTTGAAATTACAGAAATACATCCATTAACTTTTTTATTATGGTTGCTGTCATGCTAGCCCCAAGTCGAAGAATTTCAATTATTTGGTAATATAATCCTGCCTATTTTTTACCTTATGGGATGTCTTTCAACACCAAACAACGTAAATATGCCATACAATATGCCCTGAAAGCGGGTGGCTGTGAAGAGCATCTGTTATTGTCCCCCTATTCCTCTCTAGATCTAGCGCTCAAAACTGTCTTCATCTAGCCAAGCACTTTGAATACGATCTATTCAAGACAATGCCGCGATCTTCTGATTCCCTTCAATGTCTTTTGTTGTCATCCTGCAGCTGATTCAGCCTGATTTAAGGACCTATCATTTTTACACTTCCGACAAGTCGTCGTTGTTCTCATTGGGCTTTAGATGCTTTGTGAGTATCACTCGCTTATTGATGACTCATTAATTTCTTTCAGATTTATCCAGGAAGCGTCTGCAGCATCTTAATATACTGGAATGATCCACTTAAAGGATAATGTAAGGATTTATTCGTAAGCTGAGTATGGGCCAAGGGCCTTGGCTCATAGACATGAATCCTAACACTCCAGCCCGTTCTTCGGGCTATCACCAAAAGGCCATGGAAGAGATCCAAGTAGGTTTTACTCCATTGTCAGTGATTTAAATAGCTGGAGGATGTAATCGAATACTTGCACCTGCAGTTCTCGAGTACAGGAATGTTGATAGCATGTTTCCCACCCAAAGCGGGAAGATAATTAAATTACAAAGGCGAGACCAGGAAATGTTAAAACATTTGTTAATCTACCTGATTAGTTAAAAGCTCCTTCGACGCCTCTAAGTAAAAGACTCAAATGCTAGCGCGAGTTTGTTTTTGTTATTGTGGGGCAAAGTTGTAGAAAACGCGCCATCAGCGAACCCTTTTTAGGATCGCGGAAACTACGTTTCAATTGATTGATTTCATGCTACCAAAAAATGCTCGAACTGAAAAGAACCATAAGACGATTAACGTGCTAACATCTGCTCTTAATGTAAACCTTTTGCATGCATTATGGGCTCAAATAAACGCTTCCAAAGCTAGGCAAATAAGGGAGCATCTAATCGCTAAAGTACTATAGCCTTTATGGTTATTGTATATCACGTTTCTCTTTTCTTCTCGTTTGATCTTCCACACCTTTGCGAATTCTAATTAATCTGACTTCTGATCATCAATTTATAAACAGTCTTTATTCAACCTGATGAAAATGTTGTTTCTATAGAACTCTCTAAGGCCTTTTGCGAAAAGTGGCAGTGAGACTGTAGGGTCAAGCGCAGCTAGTACCATCTCCAGTTTCTCTCAGACTAGTGGAGTGAGCTCATTGAGCTCCGCCTCTGGTTCCAATGGGGATAGTGGAAAGGACCATCTTCAATTACGCCCCGGAGTAACCCATTTACTGAGCTTGGGATACTCGGAGGTTAGTAAATTTAAGAAATCTCAAGTGCTTTACTCCTTCGTTCGTCGCTTGTAGGATTCATCTATGCGCGCCCTTCAAGGAACTAACGGCCGCGTTGATTTGGCGTTGGACTACCTGGCTAAGCAGTTGCCAGAATCGAGCAAAAGCCCCGGTTACACCAAGTTGATTCGCAAGCCTAGCATTGAACGGGAGTTGGTGCATCCGAGAGGAAGCCCCGCGTTGGATTCGGGCGCCGGAAGTTCTCGAAGTGATAGTCCTCGAATGGCCGATATACATGGATCGAGGTACCCGACAGTCACCGAACCTTGTTTGTTGGCTATTGTTTTGAATTTTCCAGGTATTCGCCGAGTTTCGCGGAACCACCCCCACCGCCTCCACCAAGAACAACACCTCCACCTCCTCCGCCTCATGCTCCTCCGGCATATCAGCAATCAGTGCCGAATAATGTGCAGCAGATGTTCAAGCGCATGTCGCCCGCACCTCCGGTGGTGCCCAGTCGCGCTCAGCCTGCCAATCCAGGAAGCGGCGCTTATGGCTCTTCATCCCAGAGGGGCACCAGTCCTGTTGGAGGCGGGGGCTCCAGTCGGCAACCAATGGTAGTGCAGAATGGCCCTCAGGTAAGCGACGAGCCCCCGACTACTTGAGTCGTCTCCCTAAACAATCTTTGGGTATTTAGGTACAGCAGCAACTTTCGCAGCAAATGCAGGCGTTGAGTCTGTATCCGACAGGCGGGGTGAATTCAGCCGAACCGCCTCCACCCTATCCACTGACAGGTGGAGCGGTTGGGGGTGGCGCCCCACCTCCTCCGAGCTATTCGGCCTCTATCCAGAACCGACAGAGTCCAACGCAGGACTTTCGAAAAAGCCCTTCTTCTGGAATTTATTCCGGATCGACGTCTGCAGGTTCTCCAAGTCCAGTGCCAGTCTCGACCTCAACCACACCAACCCCAATGGCCAGGCCTACGCCTTTGCAAGCTTGGGGTGCGCGACAAACCGTATCACAACCGCCGGTAATCATGCAGTCGGTTAAAAGTACCCAGGTGCAGAAGCCAGTTCTACAAACGGCCACAGCACCACCTATACCAGCTACATCTAATGGTGAGACCATATGTACAATAAACTAGTAGAAGATTACTTGACCGTTACAAGAGCAATACAAGTTGTCTTGGGGATACCGCTATGAATGTACAGAATTCTTGTGTTGTTAGTTCTTTCCAGTTTAGCCACATGCTGAACTGGACTATTTTTCGGTAACTTCCGTTTGTGTTACCGCGGCCTTTGGGATTTAAAAGCGCTTCTGTTCAAGGTCCAAACACACCACCAGCCGCTGCGGTTCCTCCACCCTCTTACACCGCCTCTATTCAGCAGAAGGTCTACACCAATGGAGGCGGAGTTTCGGGTAAACCCGCCGCGCCCCTTCCAGGTGCACACGGCAGCAGCCTCGGGCCTCCCCTCAATGTGCCCACTACTGAACCTCCCAGCTACGCCAGTACTATGCAGGCGAAAGCAAAGGCTCAACGAGGTACTTTTTTGTTTGTAAACTAGCTGTTTTTACTTACGGTTCGCTGTTTTTTCAGTCCATCCGCCTTTGCCGCCTCCTCCATACACAGATGATCCGCACAGTGGGTACAGTTCAGGCCATCCCCATCCCCCATTGCAACGAAAGTATTCGCCTGCTGTGGGCGGTCCAAACGAGTGCTGCAGAGCGGACAGTCCGCTCTCTGCCAGCTCGGGGGACGGCAGGAATTTGTATCCGGACAATGGGGCTCCTCCATTACCTCCTACTGGTTAGTTGCACTTATCTGTCCATTGGAACACGTATTTTCCAAGGCACTATGCCAGCTGGCATCGGCAGCTTAAAAAAATGTTTGAGTTCTTTTCAGCTTCCTCTTCAGTTAAAAGCAATGCAAACAGTAACAACCACACCACGTTAAATGGGAATTCTTCAACGGAAAGTAATGGTAGTAAAAACTCGGCGGAAACACCACCGCAACTGCCGCCTTACGCCAAGATTAAACATCAGGTAATTGAAGCGAACTTTTGCATATGTATTTTTAACTGCTTGATTAAGTTGGGTGTTTCCTGTTTTCAGTCGCCTATTCCCGAAAGGAAAAAAATCAGCAAGGAAAAAGAAGAGGAAAGAAGGGATGGTAAAGTGAAAAACTATTCACCACAGGCCTTTAAGTTCTTCATGGAACAGCATATCGAAAATGTAATTAAATCTTACAGACAGAGAATGTTCCGGAGAATGCAATTGGAAAAGGAAATGGTGAAAATCGGTAATGTATTTAGTAACTCGGCACTGGTAGTTGATTACTAGCAGAATGGTTTGTTCAGGTCTCAGTACTGATGCCCAGCAGCAGATGCGCAAAATGCTCTCGCAGAAAGAATCGAACTACATTCGACTGAAACGGGCCAAAATGGACAAAAGCATGTTCGTAACCATCAAGCCTATTGGAGTGGGCGCTTTTGGTGAGGTGACCCTTGTTCGGAAAATCGACACAAATCATTTATATGCCATGAAAACCTTGAGGAAGGCCGATGTGTTGAAACGCAACCAGGTAGACGAATATTGCTGGACCAATTTGCTTTTTCTAATAATTTGGTGCAATTTGTCTCAGGTCGCTCATGTGAAAGCGGAACGGGATATTCTGGCAGAAGCAGACAACGAATGGGTAGTGAAACTGTACTATTCATTTCAAGATAGTGATATCCTGTATTTTGTCATGGACTATATACCGGGCGGTGATCTAATGTCCCTACTGATTAAGCTAGGGATTTTCGAAGAAAACTTAGCAAGGTACGACTGAAAACGTTCCTTTTCTGTTGAGGATTTTGCCTCAAAATGTTTGTCTTTTAAAAACTTTTAACACTAAAAAACAACCAGATAGAACATTTCTAACTAGACTCATTATTTTGAAATTCCAGGTTTTACATAGCAGAATTGACATGTGCTGTGGACAGTGTGCATAAAATGGGATTCATACACCGAGACATCAAGCCAGACAATATTCTAATCGACAAAGATGGCCATATAAAGCTAACAGACTTCGGTCTTTGTACAGGTTTTAGATGGACGCATAATTCGAAATATTATCAACCGAACGGTAAGTGCTGGCGGCCTTCGAGTTGATTCAGTTTGTAGAAAGTGCTTTGCAGGTGACCACAGTAGACAGGACTCGATGGATCCAATCGACGATTGGGCCGAGGAATGCAAGTGCAAGGCATTGAAGCCATTGGAGAGACGGAGGCGAAGAGAGCATCGCTGCTTGGCTCATTCTCTAGTCGGCACACCCAACTATATAGCTCCCGAAGTTCTGCAAAGAACTGGCTACACACATGTGTGCGATTGGTGGAGTGTCGGTGTGATTTTGTATGAAATGTTGGTAGGCCAGCCTCCGTTTTTAGCCAACACCCCCGCAGAAACTCAATACAAGGTACAAACTAATGCAAGAACCCACGCATTTTCTAACATTTCCTTAGGTTATCAATTGGGAAACGACGCTGCAAATACCCAAACAGGCCAACCTATCGAAAGAAGCGACAGATCTTATACTGAAGTTGTGCTGTAGTTCGGACAAACGATTGGGAAAGAACGCGATTGAGATCAAAAATCATCCCTTCTTTGAGGATATTGACTTTGATAAGGTAACTGGTTTACACCAGGTTTGCGCGCGTGTGTCAATGTGTTGATTTCTTCAGGGTCTGAGAAGACAAGCTGCGCCCCATAAACCCCACATAGAATATCCAACTGACACCTCAAATTTCGACCCTATTGATCCAGATCGATTACGCAACAGCACTTCCATAGATTCATCAAATTCGGACGATCTCACCGACAATTCGAAACTGTTTCACGGTTTCTTTGAATTCACTTTTAGGTAAGTGCAACTAAAAGGGGGAGTACTAGAGATGTAAAACTGGGGATTTGCAGGCGTTTTTTCGATGATGGGGGGGCTGCTTTCAACAAAATCAACCTGGACGACAACGAGAACCAACCACCGGTTTACGTGTGATTCAAACGGTAGGGTTGAATCAATAATAATGTCGCTTTCAGGGCGGTTGAAACCCTCCCAAATTCACATGCGTTGTTCGACTGGCTGTGCTGAAATTTTGATGAGCGCGCTCGATTTTCCAGCGAAGAATCTCGCCATTTGTTTATTGCGATGTTCGCTTCTGCCTTTTTTTAGCTAGTATAACCAAAAACCATATCACTCTTGATGTGCCTTTAAATCGTAGACGCGCTCAGAAACGAATATCGCCAGTTCAGAAATCACATGGTTGTAGATTATTGCCAACTCTTTTTCAGATGTTTTGTTCGGAATTTTCGATGTAAAGGACACATCTATAATATATATTTCTTACGTTGAAACTTAGCTGCTTGATGGATGGTTAACATCGAAATGAATTCCCTACAATATTACGCGAGGTTTATTGTTATCGGAGGTTTTTCATCTGAAGCTCGGTTAATAGTTGAGGATTTTTGATGCATGAGCAATTTCAAAACACTGGACGAGCATGGGAATATGAGCGTTTGAACGGAAAATCATGTTTCAAGTAAAGGAACGTTTTTAGGTTCTGATTAACTTGCTGGTAACTAAGCAGTTAGTATAAATCTATTATACAACATGGTGCTACATTGTTATTGTCGATAAATGTGATAATTTCCAGTCCTTATACTAGTACAACGTTTATTTAATATTGAGTGCACACGCTTTTTTGGGAAACTCATCAACAAAGGAACAAGCTCTATTATATCAAAACTCGCATTGTATCCTGCCAAAAAATATACAAAAAATCACTGTGGTATACATTGGTTTTTTAGATATATTTTTATTCATTTTCTTCTAATAACACTTCTATGAAGCCCAAGTTCTAAAATCAACAACACGGTAAAAAGTTTGTTCTTAATTAACCAGATATTTAAGAGCAAGGACCCTTTTTTTGAAATAATTTCAAATACATATTGTGAAATATAAACAGTCTCTTCTATGAGAAGAAGGTAAAGTGAATAGAACAAAATTTCAAGAGAACTAATTGTGATTTGTACCAGTATAAAAGGCTGTTTTGAACAAAATTAAAATCTATTAACTGTAAAAATATATGTACAATTTTAATCAGAAGTATGTAAATATAAACATATGTGTGTGGTTTTTGTTTTGTTGGTGTATAAGACAATAAAGAGGAAATTTGTTTGATTAACGGTCAGAACGCACTGCCTATACAAATCTGAATTTGGAAATGGAAAACCCACAGTATGTCGTAAAAATATGTTTTAGTTTTAAAATTAACTTATTCTAAATAAAAACAATGCTGTGTTAGGATTATATTTAGAGGATAAATATTATATTTTGCTCATATTACGGAGAGCGTTAACAGAATGGGCAACACTACCAAGTATGCCGTATTCTGTCAAAACTCTCTAAACAGTTTGTTTAAGATATTTATTTGTTATTTTTTTTAGATGAACCCGTTTGTCGTTTTATTTTTAAAATGTTAATTTAGGTGATAATGATTATTTGTAATTTAGAATATGATTTTCTAGTCTATCATTATTCTAGGTACATTTTAGTTTAATTAATATGACATTGTTTTTTTTTACATTTGGTTCCTTCATGAAAAATATTTACAGTACTGGCTATATTTACTAATATTTAATTTGAAATTTATGTAAATGTGTGTAAATAAATATATATTTTTGAAAATTATCAAAATTAATTATACTCTTTTTTTTAGTTTGCTATAATAATTAAAGTTAATCAAATGATCTGGAAATAATAAAAAAATAAACTGAAAAACCCATCAGTTTCGAGCGAATACTCGACATAAGCAATGTGGCGTTTTTTGCTCTAAAAGAACGTAAACTCAGACTGAAGAAAACGTACCATTAAAGAGACAGTAACTTACCTATGAAGAGTCACGAGCTAGATTAAGGAAACAAATTGAAACATTTGCATTGATACCGACCAAACTCAAGTTTGTAGACCCAAAAATTGCTACGCCACTGCGCATTGTTGCCAGATTTCGACGTCATTGAAGACGTGTCGAGCGCACAGCAACGCATGCTCCATTTGTTTAATCATTATCACTTGAACTGCTGTGTCAAAACACGTTCCGCGTTGTCTTGTTTTATCCCGCCGATGGAAACAGAGAGCGATATAAGGTCTGGTCTGTTGTTTTGATTTGGCATTTCATCGAGGGGCGTTCGTACCGCACAGATCTACATAAATATATAAAGTGATCGCCATTTTGAAAATTATACCAAATAATAATTTTCATTCCCGTTTGTTCCCGATCATCTTAATTAAAATCGCGCGGATTTTACGGGAAATGTGTCTGTGATAGCGGAACCAGGCTGTTTAGAACGGTATTTTAGTGATATGCAATAGTTTGTAAATACAATTTTGATTATCTTGTAAGTGCCCCCAAAGACTATTAAACAGCATCAGGATGAGTACAAAGGATGATGAGTACGACTACTTGTTCAAAGGTGAGTCTAGAACGAAGAAAAGAAAATGGCTTAATTGGACAATGTTATGTATTTGTATGACACATAGGCAAGTCATCAAAAACGTTAAGGGGGCAACAAGGAATTGGTAAATCAATGCGCGAGGCTTCGCCAGCCTTTAGGGCTTAGTTACGAAACAGCCAACACTTAAAAACTCTCGAAAGTACGCAGTGCAAATGTCAAAACATATTTGTTTATTAATGTGTTTAAATAACATTGGCATCCTTTGTTGAACAGTTCAAGTCATCATATGGACTAGAATCGATAAAACTCGCATTAAAAGAATGCGGGCATCAACTGCTTAATATACACAAATCATTTGAATGTGGGTCACTTACATTGTTCAGTTACGCTGATTCTGGAAATAGACATTAAATGGGGGCCATTTCGCCTAGATTGATTCATTGATGATGAGACTATTTGGAGACGGTTCTATTCTGCGGGCTATTTGATATACCTATTTTGAGGAACCGCCCCAAAAGCGATAATGATTTTGATGTTTCGCAACTATTTTTGTTATGAGTTTGTTGTCTTGAATTGATTATAGCAACGAAAATGCAAGAGCAACAAGTTTTCATGCTCAATAGAATTTGGACACGTGAATTCAGATTTTGCGGGATATCAGTGCACTGAAGAATTTTGCGAAGTGTTTGTTTCAAGTAGAAAATATATCCAAAAGGAAAAACCGGAAGCACGGAATAGAATCTGCATCACTTGGTTAAGCGGTAGAGAAGATGAAAGACACATTTCTGAAAAATTAGGCATTAAAGATCAACGAGGAAAAACTGCAAAGACACAGGAAATGCTACAGATGGTGGAAAAGAGGGGAAGACACCAGATTAACATCCAAACAGAATGAAATGAGAGTGCCATGAAATACAGAAACTGCAATAGAGTATTGGTGGTTTTAATCAATGTAATGAGTGAGAGAAATGTCCTGAAATTACAAACAAAGACCGCTTTTGATGTAGAATCAATCCAAATGTTCTGTAATGTTTAACAATGTATTTATTTATTATCCCGAAAAGTTGGCTGATTTTTAAATACCTGTACATACAGCTGACCGAAAAAATCAGTTATCACAGAATGATCTGAAAGCCGGATTTACTCAGATTTCTGAAAAAAGCCAGAGTATCTGATACCCATAATGGAAGAAAAACACTTCAAACTAGTTAAATTTGAGGTCGCTAATCCGCTATTAACACTCCTTAAAGTGTGATAGATGTTAACATGTTCACGATTGATTAGCTTAATTGCTTTACATGACTAATTGAGCAGTTTCGTTTTGTTTCAGTTGTGTTGATTGGAGACTCAGGCGTAGGAAAAAGTAACCTGTTATCGAGATTCACTAGAAATGAATTTAACTTGGAATCAAAATCAACAATAGGAGTTGAATTTGCCACGCGAAGTATACAGGTAAGGATCGTCTATCTATTTAATAGTTTGGGGAGCGAAAAATGTGTATTGAACTAGCAAAATATATCCAAAAGAAATGAGAAGAAAATAATTTATTTCTGACATGTCGCAAACACACGTAGCTCACATTTAATCAAAATTTATTCCCAACTACGTAAATACTCGAAAACCGTCTTTCAAAAGCAGATATTTTAGCTTGTTTGGGATTGCTAACACTATTTAGGTGTGTAATATAACATGTTCTTTCTTTGTTTCAGGTGGATGGAAAGACAATAAAGGCCCAAATCTGGGATACGGCTGGCCAGGAAAGGTACAGAGCCATAACAGCTGCCTACTATAGAGGCGCTGTTGGTGCTTTGTTAGTTTACGATATTGCCAAGCATCTAACGTACGAAAACGTCGAAAGGTCAGTTTTATTGCTGTGTTTGTTGCAATATTGAAACTAAACCCATGTATTTTTGTAGATGGTTGCGCGAGTTGCGAGACCATGCAGACCAGAATATTGTAATAATGTTAGTGGGAAACAAGTCGGACTTGCGACATCTCAGAGCCGTTCTCACTGAGGAGGCTAAAGCTTTTGCCGAACGGAACGGTTTGAGTTTTATCGAAACATCGGCATTGGATTCAACAAATGTAGACCTGGCTTTTCAGAATATACTCACAGGTTTGTGTGGGAAATGAGCGGATTGGTCAGGTCTGATGTGTGAACTTTCGCTTCCAGAGATCTACAGAATCGTTTCGCAGAAACAGATTCGGGATCCACCAGAAGGTGATACAATCCGCCCACAAAATGTAGAACCTATCGATGTTAAGCCGACGATGAGCTCGGACAGTGTCCGCAAACAATGTTGCCAGTAGTCAATGTGTAATTAACTTGTAAACACAGGTAAGTCGGTGTTGTTAGTCTGGCGTCGAACATCACTGAATCAGTTTAGTTTCCTTTGCAGATTTGAAGTAGTATTTGCAGTGCGAGTTACAAAAATACGAAGCTGAATTGCACCCGCATGACTGGTTATTTGATTCAAACAATCTTCAAAAAACATTAACCGTATAATATATAAATAATAGGGTATCTAAATAATTTTAATATACTTTAAAGTAACTTTAGCGAATTGCTGTAAGTGTTGATGCAGGTGAACACGAAGGCCTAGACCCCAGTGTGAGATGGCCCTATAAAACACATCCTACAGGTATAATTTTAAATATACTTCTATAACTACATACATATAAATAATGAGAATATACATGCTTAACGCCATGTGATTATATTATTTACGTTAGTGGTATAAACTACGAGGTGCGTTATTTATATCATATTACTGTTTCTGTTGTCAGGTTTAATTGTATTTATTAGAGAGTATTAAAATACATTTTTAGTACTAAAGTTTCCTTTATCCACAAGCTGCATATGCCATGTTTGTCTTAATTCCTCCCTTTTTACTTACCTGAATGGGAAACTAGGTGTTGCCTTTAGATAGATAGACTTTTTCAAATCAACTACTGAGCTAATCAAGCAGCGAAGACTGCCAACACAGAGTTTTTAATTGGTAGCGCGAATGTACAAGATGTATGTTTATAGTTCAATATTTTCTTTAGCGATGTGTATCAAGCTCTGTAATATATGCTTACATTATTTAAATTATTATAAAATTTAATTTTTAAATAAAAATGTGTAACTCAATTAGGTGTGTTCAATCGTTGCCATTTTCATGTGTCCACATCCAAGTTTTCCCTTCAATTTTTCCATCGGCTTTTAGTTGATTTCCAATATTTGTCCTAGTGTTTAGGATGGTGCCTTTCCACAAGCGGCTTTACAAGGAAGTAGTAGACTATTTGTGCCACGGTCAAGCAGCTGCATCCGATGAACAGAGAAATGGCTCCACCAATAGACACTAAAACACTCATTATGTAAGTTTGGAAGTTGTGTTTTTTTCCTTACCAATGAAATCTAGGAACTCCTGGTTTGCATGTCTCACATACTGCACTGTGGGGGCCCTGGTTATAAAATTGACGCGTTTTTTTGACTTGTTGTTGCGCAGCCTGTGAGTTTATCACAATTATTACAATAGTTAATATAAAGTGTTGCGTGTGGTCGTGTACCTAATATCGTTATCGTATTCAAAATTTGGTACGATTCCAATCAGGGAAACGTCGATAAGAAGGCAGTTGCTTATACAAATGCACTTGGCCAAGTATTTTCGAATTTCCAGCGCCTGTGAGACGCAGTTTAAGCCGCTGATGTTGCACTGTTTGTTCAGCAAATCTACTAGGAAATTAAGGTAGTTTTAAGTTTTTTTAGTTACCGTTTTCGCTCGGCAGCAAATGGATGTAGCATCCGCAAAGTTCCAACTGTGCCTGCTTGATGCACTCAACTTCACAAGCTGAGTTAGAGTAGACTTTAAAACTCCTTAGGGATTGAGCTTCCTGGGATAGTTTGCAGTTTCGACGTTTTACTTCTAGTTTGAGTAGCGAATTGTCCGGGGATGCTACCTGAAAATGTAATTAAATTCCCAAGTTTCCTTAGAGTTCCTGTTTGCTTACTAAAACTCGTAGGTGTATATCAGCGGTGCGGAACTCTCTAAACCTTCTCTCGTGCAGATGGTTGTGTTTCTGATACATCTTTGTGGGAATATTTGTATTTCCCATGTACCAAACCGATAAGTCCGTGTGCGCCAATTCAACAGATAAATTTGCCGGGTTAAGTGCGGCATCGTGTCTTAGGGCTCCAATTTTCTGGCCTCTCCTCAAGCTTCCATATCTAAACACAAGGGCGGAATCAGGGGGGGTCATGGGGGTCGTGACCCCCCATCAATCAATTTTCTATCCAACGCTGCCAAAACGAATTCTGTGGCTCGAATGGTTCTTGAGAAACTTCGAAAAAAGCAGCGTCATATTCAAGTGGATTTTGCAACTCAAAAAAAACCACGCAAATCTAAAACTTCCTGAATTCAAGCCTTTTTTGACAAAACTGCCAACATTTCCCCATCCATGGTTCACTTTCTCAAAAGGCCATTTATTTCTGTCTAGAATGATGTACACATGAGCGTTCTTCCTCATTTTGCCTCCGAGAAATGAGCAAAAACGGGACGGAAAACATGAAATTTTGGCATAATTTTGAACCTAAGTGTCTGATATTCAAATTTCGCTTTCTGGGGCAAAACTACTCGAATTTCCTCAGTCACGTTGTTACGACTGAATCTACTTTTCAATTCTCTATCCAACGATGCAGATGATTTGCGATGATTGCAATGATAATATTGCGTCACCCTTGTCTAAACAGCAGTTGGATTGGAAGCCTTGGTTAATTTGGGGCTACTTACTGAGCTTCAACTGAACCATTTAGAAGGTTGTTTTCGATAAAAGCGTTATAGCTGTTGACCACGAAGCATTTGCCTTCATACGTGCCCACGGGCAAAAAGCGCTCGCAACAATCGAACTCCACCCCATTAAATGTGCATGAGGTGAATATTTCCTTACAACCTGCCCGTATCTAGTAATAATTGATTTTATTTACAGGGTGTAAAAATTGAGGTCCCATTCTTACATGGTTGGCAAACAGCGACAAATCCTGCCCGTATGCAGTGATGAAGCGACAGTAATCCTTTTGAGGATTGTCACAAATTCTTTGCGGCATCGCCCTGTCCAGCGGTCGAATAAAGCTGGCCGCTCTAACGAAGTTTTCAATGTCCAGAGCGGATTGGCGATCAGTTAAGTTGAATTTCAGGCTAAAAGCGCGCAAGAAATGATGCAATGGCCTTTAAGACTGATGGGAGTCGCTCACTGTTTTAACATTTCTTCAAATTTGCCCTTAATTTCCTTTTCTTCGCAGAAAAATATGGCTGGAAAAGGCGCGGTGAAGTCCAGGTAGTCGGTCCTCACTCGAATCGAAGCTTTGGTTGAATAAAATGTGTCCACCGATATGGTAACTAGGAATATTGCTCCAACCTGAAGAAGTTGAGGTTTAATTGCGGAATGTTTTCTTGTTCTTTATACAAATGGTGCAACTCCTCTGGGGGCTATTTGCCAGCTCATTAGTGGAGAGATCAAGGGCGGATCCAGGGGGGTCAGTGGGGTCATGACCCCCTTATTCAATTCTCTATCCAACGATGCCAAAACGAATTTTCTGACTCGAATGGTTCTTGAGAAACCTCGAAAAAAGCAGCGTTATGTTCAAGTAGATTTTGCAACTTAAAAAAAAAACCCGCAAATCTAAAACTTATTGAATTCAAGCATTTTTTGAGAAAACTGTCAACATTTCTCCATCCACTTTCTAAAAAGGCCATTTATTTATCTCTAGAATGATGTACAAATGAGCGTTTTTGCTCATTTTGCCTCCGAGAAATGAGCAAAAACGAGACGGAAAACATGAAATTTTGGCATAATCTTGCACCTAAGTGTCTGATATTCAAATTTCGCTTTCTGTTGTTACGACTGAATCGACTTTTCAATTCTCTATTCAACGATGCCAAAACGAATTCTGTGGCTCGAATGGTTCTTGAGAAACTTCGAATAAAGG